CTGACAGGGTCCACAGGGCATGCATTGGAACATGCATTGGTGTCGATGTGAAGGGGCCTAAGGGGAGAGCGCTAAGGGACAAGGTCACCCTGCTAACCCGCCCTCTCGCCACCAGACTGGCTCGACGCCAAGACAGGAGCAACAGTTGTTTGAAGGAAGTTGGTGATGATCGGCCAGTGTGAGAGAGAGATTGGAGGCACTGGAGGAGGACAACATTCATATGAAATGGAGGGTGATTGATGAATGATGAACACTCACGCCCAACCACCTGGTCAACCGGCCATCTCACCCACTTCTTCATTCGACGATGGCTTCGGGCTTGGTAACTTTGACACGGAGACAGTTCGCGATGGCTTCAACTTCCAAGGCATTGTTTACTTCACAGTATAATGCACGAGCCAACAACATGAGTCATTGTCCCGGCAACGACAGTGTGGAACTAATATGTATGAGTAATACAACAAGAGCTTCTTAGGGGAGAGGGACAATAATTGTTGCTCGACAACAAGCCAACATCCCAAGAAACTGCTGTTCTGACAGATGCTCAAGATCGACTGTTGGCTCTGCCGCCTGTTTGTCATTTGCTATCTGGGCGTCCATCCGCTTTGGGCTGTGCAAAGTGGAAGACTCAAAGAGGTTATCCGACTTGCCGATCCCCTTCCGGCTCGTCTTGGATTTGAGGAGCTTTGGTTTTTCCGGAGCGTCCATGTTTTCCTCTCCCATCATTTGTGACCCAAAGCAGTGAGACATTCGGCAGGCAAAGATCAAAGTGAGCAACCCGAGCCTGCTTGGATCGGGTTCCAAACAGCAAAGCGGCACTGTTCGAGATGTTAGGGTCTCAGAGTCTGAAAACCAACGAACCTGCCCTAATGTTTGACGATGCCAAAACTGGCCAAGTTGGTTTATGCTGTTAGTGCTCTGTATACTGAGGCCAAGGTGAGCACTAACATTACACGTCAAAACGTGCCCCTCATCACGTGCACCGCGATTTTGTGCTCCAAGCGGGCAGCTACCCCACTATGACCGATGCAGGAACCAGGAAAGGTAGACCGAGAAGGCCGTCATTGAAGCCGAGCATCATCATACCGGCAGGCTCATCGCCGTAACCACAGCGGTCGTGACAGCCAAGAGTATATCGCGATGGTGGCATGACGTTCTGCACTAAACACCTGGCAACTCTGTACTCGATCCTCTAATAGACATCTCGGATTATGAGCGCGACTGAGCTTTGAACGGTGTCATTATTTTTCATCCACAGCTCTAAGCTAGGTCTAGTGTTTCTCCAGCTATCGCATTCTGGCATCTCTTCGCCGTGCCTTTTTTAAGCTTTCTTTTTATTGCTTCCTCGCCTTTATAGTCGAATCTGGCCTCTGAATCACTCAAGTCCGACGTATCTATAGCCAACGACACACGGCCACCATGAAGAAAGGAGGATTTGGTTCCGGCGGCTTTGGCGCCTTCTCGTTGTCAACAGCTTCGCTATCCTATGTCGCTCCGCCTCCCGACCTCTCCAGCGTCCCCCAAGACGTCATCGTGCCCTTCAAAAACCTCCTCAAGCGAGACAGCACAACAAAGTCCAAGGCTCTCGAAGAGATATTAGCATGCGTCAAAAAGTCCGACCAGCCCGTCGACGACTCCGTCATAGACGTCTGGGCTCAACTCTACCCCCGTGTCGCCATCGACAATAACCGCCGTGTCCGAGAACTCTCCCACAACCTCCTCCTCGAGCTCGTCAAGTCAGCCAAGAAGCGCATTGAAAAGACCCTACCGAAGCTGGTCGGCCCATGGGTTGCTGGCACTTTCGACAAGGACAAGGGAGTCGCCCGCGCTGCTCTCGCCGTCTCGGCTCACATTCTCGACTCGGACCAAAAGAAGGCAAAGTTCTGGATCGCGTTCCAGGGCAAGCTCCTCGAATATGCCAACGAGGCCATCCGAGAAACAGCCGACTCTCTTAGTGACGAGAGGACGACATCCAAGGAGGATATGGAGGCCAAGTACTACCGCGTGCTCGGAAGTAGTATGGCCATGATCCAGCACCTGTTGCCCACAGTCAAGGACGACCAATACCCCGACGAACTCAAGCGCTTCTTCGACGCCGATACTCTTTGGACCTTGGCAGCTTCCGATGATGCGTCCGTACGTCGTGCCTTTTACCAGCTCGTCGCAAGTTACCTCGACAACAAACCTAGTCTCTTAGAACCCAAACTGAAGGATGTTGGCAAGGTACTGGTGGCGGAAGGCCCCAAGAAGGAACAGAGAGGCTCAGCTGTGGACCTTTTGAGGGCATTGATCAGCGTTACAAAACGTTTTCCCAAGGTTTGGGGCAGCAAGAGTCCCTTGGACCGCTTGCGGCCGTTGGTCCAGAAGGGTTCCCAGGGAGGGTCGGATGAGTACTGGACGGAGTTGGATCAGTTGCTTGCCATTTTGCCAACATCTTCCCCAGATTACGCTGCGAATGCCTCGGCGTTCCTCAAGTCCATGAGAACTGCCATCACGAGCCGTGTGGAGCGGCGTCAAAATGCCGCGTCTGCTTGGGCCTGTTATCTTAACACGGTCGATCGTATTACCGCGGGCTCTACCCCAAGCCCGGATTTTCTTCAGGAAAACCTGTACCCATTAACTCGGGAATACTTGCATCCTTCCACGGAAACATCGACGTGGGCCTATGCGCAGCCTCCACATGTGTTTAAGGCATGGAAGATTGTACCATACACAACAAACGAGCAAGTACGGTCATCAGCAAAGGAAGAATGGCAGAAGCTTGGTGATGACTTTGCTGCGGGTCTTTCCAACTCTCTCCCTGAAGTTTCCCCCGATTATGAAAAGTCTCAGTTAGAGCTGGCAGCCCAAGGTGATCGCTGGTTCACTCTAGTACAAGGCTTCCTGAGGGGGGCACCCAGCCAACAGAGCTTCGATGGCGATGCTGATCTTCCGAGTGTGGTCGCTTCGACCTCAAGAAATTTGTTGGAAAGCGCACAAGATCTGCTTGCCAGGCGAAACTACAAGCCTTTCTGTGCTGCGGCTGTCCTAAAAGCCGCCTTCACCAAGGCTCCAGGCCTGTGCTCCAAGAGCGATCTGATCAAGAAGGTTTTCCCACTCGACGACCAAGAAGCTTTCGAGAAGATCGTCGTTTCTCGATCACTCCCGTTTCTGGCATCTTGCCTTGCCGCCGTTACTCTTGATCAGCCTGACTTCTCCGAGCAGGTCTGGGTAAAGCTTATTGACGCTGCTTTGAGTCATGGCTTCCCTTCCGGTGCGCCAATCGTCAAGGAACTGGTGTCTGTTCCTCTTCCTCAGGCGGTTGCGCAGAAGAGCGAGGCACTGCAAAACTTCATTGTCGAAGCCTGGCAGGACTTTTCCAAGGAGGAGCCTTCGTCTCCCGTTGTGGAACAACTTTGCAGAGCCAGCATCTCTCATTCTGTCGTGGATGACAAAACGCTACAGTCTCTCGCTAGCTCGTTTGCGCAGGATATTGGTGTGGCTGGAAAATATGATCCTGAGTTCAAAGCTCTCGATCTGTTACTTCGCAACAAGTCGGCCCTGTTCGCAGATACCCCGGTTGATCTTTTCACGAGGCTCTTATCCCTGGAGGAAATATCGGACTCTGAAAAGGCGACCAAGGTTGCGGCTATAAGATCTCTTATTCAGAAACAGTATGGCGGGGACAAGTTGTGGCTTGAAGTCATTCGCCTTAGCTTGGCTGAGGCCGATCCCTCTTCTCTTGATATCGACACCTTGATCCGCCATGCCAAGGAGATCCTGAGCTCTGGTGTTCCTTTGACTGACCTTCTCCCATCGGCGAAAGCATGGAATACTGAGCTTTACAGCTTTTTGCGGGATAACCCAGATCCTTCCCTGTCTATCACCAGCAGTTTTGGCGGTGCCTACTTCCTGGCGACAGAGGGCGAGGGTAGCACCCCAACGACCCAGAAAAGGGATCGTCAGGGCCGGTCAATTCCTGCGAGGATGGCCATCTACACCACCAATCTTTTCACTGACGCAGACCTGGAAAGCGTTCCGGCGGACCTCCTGGAGCTCATCTTCCTGACTGCCGTTCTTGCGAATGACGACTTGACTGTCATGAAGGAGAATGGACTCTGGAGTTTGCCTGCCGCTGAGGATATCAGAACAGAAAGATCTGATGAGATTCAGTCTTTCTTGGATCTAGGCACGTCGCTACTTGCCCGAGTGGCCGGGGCTTCGGCGAGCTGGAAAGAAGGCGACCTCAACGGAACCAGCTTGGTGGAAACGCTCATCCAGTCCTTGCTTCAGCAGGCTGCGGACTTCAGTGCCAAGGCATTGTACGCATCCAAGGCCCTCACTGAACTGTTCCAGGCTCTGGTGAGCGTACATGGCTACCTTGCCGGCGCCAAATTCGACGAGTGGTTCAACAAGCTTGGTATTATGAAGGCCACGCCGCAGACCGTCTTTGCCGCCATCGCCTTCCTTACCGGGTTCGACGAAGGACTTGCTTCGTCCAGAGCTGTCGCAAATCTTTACAACCGTCTTGTGTCTGACATTGTAGGATGCTTCCCATCATCACCGAAGACCCTGTACAATGTGGTCCTCCTGAACATCTGCCTTTCAGTCTACCCTCCAGCTAAGACACCAGTTGAGCAGCGCAAACTCGTCTTTGCTCTTAAGCAGTTCACTACGTGGGTGCAAACTTCCGACGAGATGACCTTTGGCCTCACCGCCGAGGTATGCAAGGGCATCCACCGCATCCTGCCCAATGTCGCCCAGGTGTATGGGCCGTACTGGCGGGAAGCCATCGATTACTGCCTTTTGTTGTGGGAGAAGGCCAGAAACGATACCCCTCAGCGATGGCCGGCTTATGTTTTGCCCTCCATCAGGCTCATATCAGCAATGGAGGCTTTGGAGGATCCCAATGATGACCTTGTCGAGGCCTTGGAAGAGACCGCACTTGACCGGTCCAAGGCACTCATCCGGCTGCTTGAGCTACCACATGATGTAGTCAACACGGCTCGTCAAATACTCGACGAGACTCTCTGCAGGGCAGTTCAGAAAATTCCCCTCAAGCATCTCATATCTGAGAAGGATTTGTTGACCAACCTTTATGGGTTATTGTCTTCCAGTTCACGGGACGTTCAGACAGCCGCATTCAGTCTTCTCCACCGGGCCCTGCCCGCTCAGCAAGAAGAGGAGGTCCTGGAGACTCTTCTGGAAGAAAAGGGTATGTACTCTCGACTTTGTTCTACGTACCAATGACCATGTATGCTGACTCTTTTAGCAGTCGCCAAACTCCCCGATGAGCTGCTCTCCATCATTCAAACTGTTCCGGCATTGGAGAAATACACTGATGAGGAGCTTGCGGGCTTCCCTGTGGATGTTCGCTCTTACCTCCTTGGTTGGCACCTCGTTTTTGACGCTTACAACCAGGCTCCACTTCAAGTGCGCAAGCAATACACGGAATCCCTCAAAGCTGACAACTCGCTTGATGCTCTGCTTGAGCTAATGTTTGACGTTCTTGGGCACTCCACCGGCCAAGCACTGAACCTCGATAAGAACACGTTCAGCGCGGAGCATATCCGATCCTACGACGTTAGCCAGTCCGAAGAAGGAACCAAAGAGCGCGATATGCAGTGGCTGCTCGTCCACCTCTTCTATCTCTCGCTCAAGTTCCTTCCCGGCCTCGTGAAGTCATGGTATCTCGACCTGCGCAGCAAGCAGACCAAAATTGCCCTCGACTCCTGGATGGCCAAGTACTATGCACCTCTTCTAATCTCGGATGCCCTCGACGAGGTTAACGACTGGGCCTCCTCGCAAGAAGCTCCCCAAGAAGACGAGAAGGAGCTCCGCGTGCGTGTCAACCGCACGGCCAAGGAGGTCTCAGCGGGCTACGAGATCGACGAAGACTTCGCCTCCATCGCCATCAAGATCCCCGCCGGCTACCCTCTCGAGTCAGTCGAAGTCATCGGCGAGAACCGTGTTGCCGTCAACGAGAAGAAGTGGCAGAGCTGGGTGCGCGCCACGCAGGGTGTCATCACTTTCGCCAACGGCAGCATCACGGACGGCCTGGCCGCCTTCCGGCGAAACATCATTGGTGCACTCAAGGGCCATACCGAGTGCCCCATCTGCTACGCGGTTGTGTCGGCGGATAAGAAGCTGCCCGACAAGAGGTGCAGCACGTGCAATAACTTGTTCCACAGGTTGTGCCTGTACAAGTGGTTCCAGAACAGTAACAAGAACACGTGCCCGTTGTGCCGGAACCCGATTGATTATTTGGGGAGTTCGACGAGGAGGGGTGGAGGTGGTGATTGAGGAGAGGGGGGTTAGCAGTTACTGTGTACATGCCACCAGCGCCTTTTTTGGGGTTGTTGAAAGCGCATTTGTTTGTTCTGGGTTAGGTTATAGCTGAATAGCGAATACACAAAAGGTGGTTTTTGAAAACAAGAGAAGGATGAATCGGTCTAGTTCATAAACATCAGACCCAGTGGTCCCGTATGACCCTATCCCAATCCAGTATACAACTTTTTTCCCCAACTCCCGTTCGGAGAAATCTCAAGCCAATTGCCCGGAGACCCCCCAACCCATTGTTTGAATGATACATTGCTCTGAAAGCAGTTTGAAGTCCGAGCTGGCAAAGTCTAAGCGGTGCAATGGAGTGGATGGCGCAAAGTGATCCTTGTAAGCACGCTGAAGCCAAGATAGTGGAAATGTCTTCAAAAATGAATGTCTGAACCGTGTTTTACCGCTGCCATGCGAGCCATTCACCCCCGGGGGTTGACGAAGTGCTTGTCGTTAGTAACGGTGACAAGGTTACAGTCATCGCTTCCCTAGCGGCCGATGTCGTGATGGTGCTAAGCAATGGTGAGATTGCAACAAGTGCCCATCTTTTAGGCTTGGCTTGCTCCACCAACGTCTTTTTTTTTTGTCCATAAACCTAAACCTTAATAGTACCGCTTCTCCAGACAGATTGCCGAACCGCTAAACTCCTTTTGAGGTTATTCGCTACCTTTACACTACTGTGGTATAGTGTAGTGTACCAAAAGTCGACGACACCACCACCAACGACCACGACTCGCGTAGGACGGTCAGGACGGGGAGGGTATCAATCTCGTTTTATGCCCCCCACACACAATCCGCATCGCGTGGGGATCGTCGACAAGTTCCACCTATTTTGACGAATTCTCCGTGCTGGAAACGAGCCAAAAGAGAAAAAAAAAACAGCAATCGTAACCGAGGTCGAGGTCGAGGGAGGGCTGTCAAAGTTCTGGCCTCCTCCACTTTCGCGCTTTTACTATGTGATGTAGAGTCACACTGCGGTCCCTATGTAATGTGTATGCAAGGCAAGCTAAAAGGGTCCGCATTCAGCCCAGTCATCTTGTCCGTCGTTATCGCCATGGAAGATGGAGACGCGGAGATATCCCATGTGAGATGTGGGATGTGGGATGGGGAATAATCACATAAAGACGGGCGAGGTCCCGGTGGTTTGGGGTGTGTGATGAAAGACCGGAATTACCCTTTGGATCTTGTTGTTGTTTGAAACCTTGAGTCCTGCAGCCCATAGGACCAACCACTGGAAGGTACCTAGACACGATGTCCTCGACAGATAACAAGGAAACGAAGGTCGAGCTCGGCCCCGTCTCGACGGGGTCAGACGCTGACGAGCAAATAACCAAGCCGGTATCGAGGTTCACTCGATGGTACCGCAGCCCTCTGTTCAACGTCATCATGGTCGGCCTCATCTCCTTCACCCAGCCCGGTGTGTGGAATGCCCTCAACAGCACGGGTGCCGGCGGCGCGCAGGAGCCATACTTGGTGAACGGATCGAACTCTTTGACTTTTGGGTATGCCTCCCTCTCCCTCTTTCCCCCTTAAGCACAATGTTCCCCAAGACTCACAACCCAACCAGCATCATGGTCTTCGGCTGCTCCCTCTTCTCCATTCTCTCCAACAAGATCGGTATCAAATGGGTTCTCATCATCGGCACCCTCGGCTACGCCCCTTACTCCGCCGCGCTCTACGTCAACAACCGGTACGGAACCGAATGGTTCGTCCTCTTCGGCGGCGCCCTCTGCGGTATCGCCGCCTCCGCCTTATGGGCCTCCGAGGGCGCCATCGCGCTCGGCTACGCCGACATCAAGGACCGCGGCAAGTTCACGGGCATCTGGCTGGGTCTGCGCGAGCTAGGCCAGCTGATTGGCGCTTCGATCCAGCTTTCGCTCAACGTGAAGAAGGAAGGAAGGGGCAAAGTCGGGTATACCACGTACCTGGTGCTGATTGCGCTGCAGTGTCTTGGGTTGCCGTTTGCGTTGCTGGTGTCTTCGCCGCACAAGGTGATCAAGGCTGATGGGACGAGACTCCGAGATCCGACGTTGAATAAGACGGTCAAGGGCGAGTTCGAGAAGATTTGGAGTCTGTTTAAGCGCACGCAGATGTACCTGCTAGTGCCGATCCTGATTGGGTTTCAGTGGAATAGCACTTATCTGGGGATTTATATGACCAAGTAGTATGTCATCTTTTTCCCTTCCCCCTATCACCTCCTCACGATCTTACCTAGAGTTGGACAAAACGGAAACTAACACCCCGCACACCAACAGCTTCTCAGTCCGCTCTCGCACCCTCGGCTCCCTCGTCTCCGGCATCGTCGCCACGGCCGCCAACATCTTCTGGGGCTGGTTCTACGACCGACAATCCCTCTCGCGCCCGACCGTCGCCCGACTCACCTGGGCCTTTTTTGTTATTCTCATGCTGGGAACCTTTGGCTGGCAAACTGCCAACGAGAAGTTGTACGGCGACCTGAAAGCGGCAGGGACCCCGATCACGCTCGACTGGGCCAACCCCGGCTTCGGCCGCGGGTTCGCGTCCATGGTCATTCTCAGGTTCCTCAACGAAAGTCACTACATGTTTGTGTACTGGCTTATCGGTGCCTTTTTCGATGATCTCGAGACGTTGGGACTGGCAGTGGGGATTGTGAGAAGTTTTGAGAGTGTGGGCTCGTGCTTGGCGTTTGGGATTGGCGCGGCGCAGGTCGCGCCCATGGTGAACCTGATTATTGCGTTTGCCATGTTTGGGTTCACAATCCCGGCGACGTCGGCGGTGGTGTTTATGGTGCCGGAGAGACCGGTAAATTTGAGGAAGTTGGAGGAGGATGGTGGTTCCACTTCTAGGGCAATGTCTGATGGTGAACCGCTGGGTGTCATTGCCGTTGCCGCGGCTGCCGCTAAGGAGGCGAGCATCGAGGGCTCTGTGGTGGCTGCCCTTGGGTCTACGGATGAAAAGGAACGGGATGGAGTGCAGCCGCCGGGTTATGAGCTGAAGTAAGATGAGATGAAATTGGAAGCGATGGGACGGAAGGAACGGGAGGAACGGGATGAGAAGACAGCCAGGAACTAGATACCCAACCTCGAAATGGCCATTTTGGTACATTGGAGGATACCTAATAAAATAAGCATTATGGTAAAGCCTTGTTGTCGCAAATTGGCAATCGCGATCCCATCCTTTTGTGAATGAACTCTTGTCGACAAGATGAAACAAATGTCGGGCATCCGGCCAGCATTGAGCACAACCGTTCATCCGAACCCAGGCAGCTGTCTGTGTGGGGAAGACATTCGAAGTTGCCTATATAGGTTTAGCGTTTGTGTCAAGTGGGTAGCAACAGCCAGAAATGGTTTAGTGCCTGAGCGGCCACGTGGGTTGCACCTTCCATGGGTGTTCAACCTCGAGGTCATTCGTTCGATTCTCGTCGAGGGCAACTTTTCGCCACTACTATGGGAGAGATGTCCGGGCACGTCCTGGGCACTCTCCCATGGTGAGTACTCATCTTAGCGTAGTCTTCCATAGCGAATAAACTTATCTACAGCGACATTATAGCGAGTATCCTTATCCCCAGCGAACGAGCGAACGAGCGAACATACTAACCCATAGCGAACGAGCGAGTATCACTAACCAATAGCGAATAGCGAGCATTACTAACCCATAGCGACTAACCAACAGCGACTAACACATAGCGAGTATCACTAACCAACAGCGAATCCCAAGTGGGATCTGGGTTTTCGCCAAGCGGTTTCCCAGCGAAGTATATTTTTTTTGATGGTTGTTTTGTTTTTGTTTTTGTTCTTTTATGTACAGATTTGCCTGGCAGGTCTTGTGGAAACATGGAAGTTCGGACACGCTTGTACCAAACAAAATCCAGCGAGTGTCCGGACCTTTTTCCACATCACCTGCCTGGGTACCCTCCCGCAGTTAAAACATGTGCTGGTGTGACCATTGCTGCGGCCTTGATTGCGTGACTGGCTAGCCCAATGTTGACATACCTTGTGTCTTGTTTGCCCCCTTTTGACCCTTTGAGGACCGTTCACGCCCAACCACGTTGCTGGAGACGCTGTGACAGCGAGGCGAAACAGAAACATTCCAGCGGTTCCTGACCTGGCAAATCCGCACAGACAGCACAGACGGGAGCCCCTGAGCGGCCCGGAATTCAGGGAACAACAAGGCAAAAATAGGGGGGAGCATCATCAGGGCAATTTGGGGTGGTGTAATGTACCTTGCCATATATTCCAGGGCGTAGAGGTACATGCCATCGAACATCTTTAGAGCGACGCCGGTCCCCCTAAAGTGGGTCAGCTAGAAGATCTCGTGGATCCTGTCATCTGGGGGAGGAGGTCTTAACTAGTGCGCCTTGTCACTGGATCGGGCTCCCTTGACCAGGCCGTAACAAGCCGTTATTCTCTTTGTTCGAGTCACTTTCAGGTTTCTTTTTCCCTACCTCTTCTTCTTGTTGCGCTTAGAGACTTTGCGATGCGAATATCAGAAAGCAAGCACTGCTAGAACCAGAGAAGAGATCGCACCACGAACGAGCGACATCGGGCGACACAGATACCATACCTGGTACCGTAAACAGAACAGCAGCAGCATGGCAGCCGACTCACTACTTCGAACCGTACTTCGGCGCAAAGTCGAGTTTCTTCGCCATGTCCGCCAGCGTCGGGCGCAATACTCAACCAAACCTCCCACAGCCGGCGAGCAGATCCCGACACCGGGCAATGTCCCTAACCTTCCCTTCTGGCAGCGGCTCGGGCCCTTGACGAGGGCAGCCTTCGCATATGCGCGCGCCCAGCGCAAGAGACCATACACCACCCAGGTGGCCACGTCGCTGGTCATCTACTTCTTTTCTGATATTTCGGCGCAGAGGATGGGCGGGAAGGACTATGATCCCAAGCGGACGGTGCGGTCGCTGATCATCGGGTCGATATCGTCGATTCCCAGTTTCAGATGGTAGGCGCAAGCCCTCCTCTATGTTTTCGTCTTGTCTTGTACATATGATGATGCGATCAGAGAAAGAACTCAAGGCTGACGTGTTTTGGTTTGCGCCTGCAGGACGTTGTGGTTGTCCAACAACTTTAATTACTCGTCGCGCATCCTCTCGCTGGGCACCAAGGTGGTGGTCAACCAGCTCTGCTTCACCCCAATCTTCAACTCGTACTTCTTCGGCATGCAGGCTGTTCTCGCGGGTGAGAGCTGGAAGGATATCGTGGAGCGCATCCGGGTCACGGTACCCGTGAGCTTTGTCAACTCGTGCAAGCTATGGCCAGCCGTGACGGCATTCAGCTTCACGTTCATCCCGATGGAGTACCGGTCGCTGTTTGCGGGTGTGGTCGCGGTTGGATGGCAGACGTATCTGAGTTTCTTGAATCGGAGGGCCGAGGATGGGAAGGCGATCGAACAACCAGCGCCGGCACTGGCGGCAAAAGCGATGGAAGCGGAACCCACCCAGTTGAAGGCGCGACAGGTAGAGCTTTCGACGCGACCAGAGATGGCGATGGCGGCTGCGAATTAGCGAATACGGCGGCGATAAGAGGAGGGAGCATTTTCACCGGGGAGCTAGAGGAAGGGTGGTTATTTTTGCCAATTTTGGGGTTGCATAGTTGTAGACATCATTGCATGGGTCGGCGTTCATGGGGCGGTCTTTTTTGTTGGTTGCATCGACATAGAGATACCTGTATCGTTTCAGTTGAGCGAATACAATTTTGTTGTTTTTCTTGAATCTCAGCTGTTCTTTCCGACTGGAACATGGTACCGTAATAAACGAGGAGGAACACAGTCAGATGAGGCTGTGTCAATGTTCACGTTTTTAAAGAAGGCGCCCGGGCACTGATGACGGGAACGACCTCCATTCCATCATCAATCAGGGCAACCCAGGGGCACATGGCAGTGGGTGGGAATTATAGTGGTGGTGGAGTCAGCTGTTCTCTAGTTGACATCAGCCCAAAACTGGTGGGGTCTCCGCTCTCGGTGGTCTGAGTCGGGTTCAGACAGCGGCTGGAGTTTCGGTACAAGTGGAACGACAGGGCACCTCATGAGCTTCCGGCTCCGAGTCGTCCCCGTCCCATCTAATCGCCCGTCGCCGTTCAACTCCACCCTTCCCTTGGCTCTCGCTTCTCCTCCCGCTTCGAGTCTCAACACAAGCCAACCTTCCTCTCTCTTCTCCGCCAAAACATTGAGTGTTCGCTTGGTCCAGCAAACACTCGACAGCCCTCACAATGGCCGCCCCCTACCTCAGGACAAGACCTGCCCTCTCAGCGGCCCTCCGCCCTCTTGCGCCCAAGCCAAGATTCCAGTCCTTTCCTCGTCGCCCAAACTCGACAACAACGCCGATGACGACGACGACCACCACCACCACCACGGCTACCCCCACCGAGCCCACCAAAGCTGCCGTCGTCGATCCCTCGAGCCTTTCCCGCCGTCTAAAGCTCTCCGCCTATGCCACCGCTCTTGCTGCCGTCCTCGGTGTCGGCTACTACTACGCGACAGACACGCGCGCCTCCGTCCACCAGTACCTCGTTCCTCCCCTCCTTCGCACTATCTTCCCCGATGCCGAAGAAGCCCACCATGTTGGAACCGCCGCCCTAAAGGGCCTCTATGAGACTGGCCTCTACATTCGCGAGAGGGTTCCCGAGAGTCCGAACGGCCCCTTGTCGGTCAATGTTTTCGGCAAGCAGCTCCTCAACCCTATCGGCATCTCTGCTGGTCTCGACAAGGACGCCGAGATCCCTGATCCCCTGTTCGCCCTCGGTGCCGGTGTCGTCGAGGTGGGTGGCTGCACTCCCTTCCCTCAGGAGGGCAACCCCAAGCCCAGAGTTTTCCGCATTCCCTCGGTCGACGGTCTGATCAACCGCTATGGTCTCAACTCCCGCGGCGCTGACGCCATGGCTACCCGCCTGCGCGAACGCCTTCGCAAGTTCGCCCGCTCTGTCGGCCTCACTGACAACGAGGTGCTGAACGAGGAGGGCACTGATGGCATCCCTCCCGGCAGTCTCCACCCCGGCCGTCTCTTGTGTGTTCAGATCGCCAAGAACAAGAAGACGGACGAGAAGGATGTCAATGCGGTTATTCGCGACTACGTCTACTGTGTCGACAAGCTCGCCCCCTATGCCGACGTCCTTGTCGTCAACGTCAGTAGCCCCAACACCCCCGGCCTACGCGACCTGCAGGCTACCGAACCTTTGACCAAGCTTCTTTCTGCGGTTGTGGATGCGGCCCAGCAAACCAAGAGGAAGACCAAGCCGAGAGTCATGGTCAAGGTTTCACCCGATGAGGATGATGACACACAGATGGAAGGCGTTGTGGAGGCTGTGTGGAACAGCGGTGTCGACGGTGTTATTGTCGGCAACACCACCAAGCGCCGGACCGGCATCGTTCCCAAGGGCGTCAAGCTGATCGACGACGAGCCCAAGATTCTCCACGAGGAGGGAGGCTTCTCTGGCCCTGCTCTCTTCGATCGTACTGTTAATTTGATTGGGAGGTACCGCAAGATGCTGGACGGCTATGCTCTCAAGTCCGAGTCCGACAAGAGCCCTGCGCAAAAGGTTCTGTTTGCCTCTGGTGGAATCACCAACGGTGAACAGGCCTTGAGGGTTCTCAATGCTGGTGCTAGTGTGGCCATGGTGTACACCGCCATGGTCTACGGCGGTTCTGGCACCATCACCAGAATTAAGTCCGAGATGAAGGAGAAGCTCGCCGATAAGTCGGCATAAGGCTTCTCAGGTGGGTTTACTCAGGATCCTATGCTGTAAATAAACGTGCGTCTTTCACCAAAAATACCCTTCTTCGATCTGCCTTGATATATTCACCTCATGAAGCACACTATTTGGGAATGGTCCCTGGCTAAGATCTCGACTATCTCCCCGGTCGACCCAATATGGTTTCATATGGCAACCAACTTCGCGGTGAACTTCGGAATGGGCTTATATGCCGACCTGAATATCTGGACGGCTAGGTGCATTTGTTTGTTCAAAACAAGAGCAGACCGCTACGACCATTCACCAGGGCAAACAAGTGCAACCCTCCCATGACATCTGCGTCAGTCCGGGAATCGAGTAACAGTTTTGAGGTCGACGATGTGGGCCACGCTCTTCTATCCACCAATCGCACCTTTCTTTCCCATTCTCTTCACGTCATAAGGCTGGAATCTGGGTGTCTGTGGCGATGCCTGCCCCTGGCGATATCAGACTGCTACAAGGGTCAAACCCAAACCACGATGCACGTGGCTCTACTCGCATGTGTAAACTATCCAGATATCCTCGAGCCCTCGTGTCTTGTTTTATCCGCGTCCCTTCCACACACTTTACACGTGGCATCATATGGGAATACCCTCCTCCCGTATTGCCCAGGGGTCTCAAACTCAACACACCCACGCAATTTATAAGGCGCGGGTTGGTTCTCAGCATCTCAGAAACTACTTGGTTGTATCGGGGAACCTTAACAGTAATTCGGCATGAAAGCAATGGGGGAGGCGCTGCTACTTTGCACCCAGCTCAGGGGCATGGCCATACTCACTTGCATATTGGTGGTAACAGAACTGTGAGGTGGAGGAGGGTCGGGTCCTCGCGTCCAAGTAGCTTTGATATGTGCTAACCTGGCACGCATCAGGTTACGCATCCTTACAAAGGAACCACTATCAAGTTTGGCTGATATCCTCCCGGTCAATTTATAGCCGCTTCTCTTGACTTACACAAATCCGGGAGACACAAATTCAAGAAGTAAACAAAGCCGAAGCAAGGTATCACAACACGATCTACCTCAAGGAGGCTTTGCCCCGTTGTTCTACGTTCTACATACCTCAATTTCCGGTACTTGGTAGTACCAAAGGACTTGGGCAAAGGAAGGACAAAAGGAAGGAAGCCGGATCTCTTTATACACATGTTACACATACATATGCGCTGCTGCTGTGTAAGTGACACAGGTACAGGCACTTCGAGAGATATGGAATGCACCTGGCGAACGACCCAATGGATGCAATAGATTTGAGAGCCCCAGGAACCCATGTAGCTGGACTCATACAACCCCAAAGGCGATAACCGGGGAGCATGGGGATAGTGATGCCGAATGGCTTTGGTTGTCTATACTGGGTAGAGTGTTCTGGGTGTGCAGCCTTTCCTTTCTCCTTGTCGATAATTCCCCTTTCATCGCCCATACAGATAGATGCTGGATGGACTTTGTACCTGCTGCTACTCCCTGCTGCTCGTGGGACAATCGAAGTTTGTTACAGTTACACACACAAGGAACGCACATACCCAGAGATGCAGAGACGGGTAGCACAGGGACACTGTGCTTCTGACAACATGGCTTCCATGCTTTCATATATGCCTGACATCTATAGAACAGCCATACCGAAGACGGATGTGGGTAGGCTGGTTGCTTTAGATCACATGCTATATTATAAAGGCTGGCAGTCGATATCAAGATGTGTGTATGCATGCAGACTACCTGATATTATGGGAGACTTGAGAGACCAGACACCAGTGACGGTGACACGATCTACCTAGTACAGTACTACTTCTGCGGCTCTCCGTGTCTTCGTCCGTGTACGCCGTCGTTGTGGTTTCCTCTGTACTCCTTCCCACCTGTACCTCCATGGTTGTGATCATTCTCAAATACCACAATTTGTCTCCATTGTTCAGATACTTTCAAATTCTTCCTTTTTCTCTATCTCTCCACAATGTGACAACAGCAGCAGCAGCAGCACGTGGGAAATAAGCTTCGTGTTTCACCACATTGTCTATTTTACTAGCTCTAGGAGCTGGAGCTGCCGAGCTTGACTTATTTCTATTTACTTTACTTCAACGTCAATCCTGGTTTGAGCCTCTTTTTGTTTTGGTTTTTGATCTGGTCATACCTATACGTGGGCCAAGGGGCCAGGAAAGAAAGACAATGGGCATTGCTTCAATCATGAGGCGCTCCTTGTCACTTTGGAATCTATTTATTGCAGTTCTTCTGTTCCTCATTCTTCTCTCCTCGCCGGTGAGAGCCTACAATACCTCGAAGACAGTTATTTCAGAGATCTTGGAAGGTTATCCTAGTTGCGCGGTAGGTATACCCCTGAACACTACATTAAGTATCATTAATCTCGAGTCAAGCCACACTACTCTTATCACACCCATCTTAAACGTCAGACCAAGAAAGCTAATACCCTAGTCCCTTTCCATCCCCAGGACGAGTGCATAACCCCGCTCCTCACGCTCTTTCCCTGCTCCTACAACAACAACGCCTCAACATCCTCCGAACTCCTCACCTGTCTATGCTCTCCAGACCCTCACCACCGCCCCTCCCTCACCTCCTGCCTCACCACCTCCTGCCGCCCAATCCCCTTACTAACCGCCCTCAACCAAACCGCCACCCTCTGCCACGACACGCCCCGCAACCGCTCCTCCCAATTAATAATCTTAACACTCACCCTCGGCACGCTCAGTCCTCTCCTCGTCCTCTCCCGCCTCTTCTTTCGACTGCTCACCCACCCCTCCGGCGGCCGCCGTCTCGGGCTCGACGACTGGGTCATTTTTCTGAGTATTCCCCTGGGAATCCCCTACACGGTGCTCATCGCCCACTCGCTCGCTCGCGCAGGGATCGGGAGGGATGTGTGGACGTTGACACCCACAGAGGTGACGTGGTTTCTGAAAGTGTTTTATGTGTTGATTGAGTATTATGTGGCCATCATGGCGTATGTGAAGATGCCGTTTTTGTTCATGTATTTGCGGATCTTTGGGGAGAATTGGTCGAAGCGGACGAGGAGGGTGCTGTGGGGCACGATGGGGGTGGTGGTCCTGGTGGGAGGGGTGTTTTTGTTGCCGGTGGGGTGTAAGCCGACTGTCAAGTTTTTTTGGGAGGGGTGGGATGGGGAGCATGAGGGGCGGTGGTGAGTTTCGCCTTTCATTTTTCTTTGGTTTTTTGTGTTAAGAGGGGGGAGAATAGAGAAAAGAAGTGAAAAGGGCGGGGGAAATGGAGGGAAAAGAAAAGGAAGAGGAACAGATTGCTAATCGTGAAAACAAAACATGACAGTGACAACATCAACGCCTCGGCATGGACCCTATCCATCGTCACCATCGTCCTCGACCTCTGGATCATGGCTATCCCGCTGTCTCAGCTCCGGAAACTTAACATGGATTGGAAGAAGAAGTTGGCGGTGGGTTTGATGTTGTGTGTAGGAGTTTTGTAAGTTTCTTCTCTCTGCCTCTTGATATCTTCCATCTCGTGGTGTTCCTCACCCTTTTGCCCCCCTTACCCGGGCCCGTTGCTAATACTTTCCCCAGCGACACAATGATCTCCATAATCCGCCTCCATTCCCTCCTCGCCTTCCAGCCTTCGACCAACGTAACCTGGGACTACTACCCCGTGGCCGTTTGGTCCGCCGTCGAATACCACGTTGCCGTCATTTGCGCCTGTTTGCCTGCCATGCGCCAGTTGCTGGTCAGGGTATTCCCCATATTGGAGAGTAACATCGGGAAGAGCAACGGTAGTCACGGTGTTGGTGTTGGTGCCGGTGCCGGTGATGGCGTTAGTAATGGAGCAGAACGAAATGTTCTCAAGCCTGGAACGCATCAATATCAATGGCAGGGACAGTCGAGAGGTATGACCGGCCGGGACAGAGGCCCGTGGACAAGGGCAAGGGCGACAGAAACGGAGAGTGAGAGGGACATTGTGCTTGGGAGCTTCCGCAGTAGTGCTAGGAGTACCGATCTGGAGGTTTTGGAGGTGGATGACGTGGAACGGCAGTCTGCGGGTGTGAGGATATTGGCAACTTCTTCGCTGGATAGTACCGAGAAGAGAAATGGGTTCGGGTTGAGCTTTGAGGACCGTACGATGAAAAGGGACGGTTGTGCAGAACCCGAAGTATTTTCTTCAAGCCGACGATAGCTTTGGGTATTGATGTTTATGTTGGGCCTGGGATGATCAGGATGCCCTCGCAACGAGTCCCTGGTTTGTATGTACCACTTAAGTGGTATAGGCAGATGTTGACTGTATGAAGTCGAGTTCCCACTTTGCCGTGGCTTGTTAACAACATGCGAGATATTCACGTTCGATCCTGATAGTTCTTGATATGAAAGCCTGGAAGGAAGAATAAGTTTATCCGGCTCAAATATGAACACTGGTACTCCGAAGTCGAATCCTGCAACTCGCAGAACAGAACAACGTGGTTATACGGTCCAATGCTGCTGGTGTGGTGATTTGATCCTTTGCATGAGCCCTTGCTCAAAGTTCCTAAAGACAAATCATAAGTCTTGTCCTAAATCAAATACATGTCCTGCGTGTTTTGGGTTTGCGTACTATTGACCATATTAAGCACCTTCCATCAAGTGAAATACGAACCCTTGATATCCAAATGCCTGGAATCAACCAAAGGCTCACACCAATAGACCCTTCAAGATGCCACATAAATGCTAAGGGTAGTCACGTCCTGAACTACCAAATTGACCAATACCAAAAGTCAACCATTTGAAACTTCCATTGTGGTTTAGACGCCAGCAAAAAAAAAAAAGTGAAGTTCAGTATCTGGAGCATCACCAGAACAACAAAAGTGCAAAAGATTATGACAAGAGTGGGATTCGAACCCACGCCCTTTCGGACCACGGATTTGAGTTGTAACTCAGATTAAGGGTTAACCTTAACGTGGCGCCTTAGACCGCTCGGCCATCTTGCCTTCGTTGTTGGAAATGAGTGCTAACAGTGGACACAAGAACCAGCACCAGCTGCAGCCGACACCACGCGATTGATAATAGCACTCTGGGAAAGAGGATTACAGATAGAGACTACGTCGGTGCTTGTATGGTGTTCGTCCCATTCGTGTAGTGACCTGAGGCTATCGCCAAGATGATGACTTGGTGATAATTATGATGGATCGAAGTGGTGGTGTGCGATGAATAAGGTATGTTTGGCTCTTGCGGTCAGGGGGAAGTTCTGAGGAGGGGGGAACAAAGCGTGAGTTTGAGCAAGGATAACGAGGACTATAACGATAGAAATGGGAAATGTGATAGTGGAATGCCAACCGAGTGGCAGAGTTAGCCAGTTTGATGGAAGCAAAACCACAGCGGATGTGAAAGAAAGAGAGGGATGAAGTTGGATCGGAGGGTTGGACAAGTGGAAGTTGGAAGATGAGCCTCTCGACGTACGTCGTGTAGGCCAGCAAGGGACTCGCAGCTTCTGACCAATGGGAAACTTCAAAGCGCATAGCTTCCCACTATTAGCCGGGTCATGCGTTGCCAAACTTGCCTGCCGGCGCATCCGGCAACTGATAAGCCGCAAGCGGTGCTGGCATCGATGCTGGCGCATCGTCACGAGGAACAACACAGACACCTTGCTAGCCGCCTGGACGTCTACTGCTTCTTCGCGTGCTTGTCGTTGTTGAATTCGCTAGTTCAGCGGTGTCAAATTCAATCCCCAAACCAACCGAAAGCCATTGAAACTTTAGGGACGATAATGGCAATCTCCAAGCAGCTGAAGCTGTTGCTTACCAGCGGCTCGCTTATCGCAGCCGCGCTGGCCAGTCCCGTACAGAAGCCACTCAACGACGACGACATCGACGACACACCACTGCCGCTGGTCATCTGGCATGGTAAGCCCGGTAGACTTATGCGTCATCTCCAACAGCTGTTCGCAACTAACCATCTCCCGTTACAGGCCTAGGAGACAGCTACTCGGCCGCCGGCCTGCGTGAAGTCGGCGCCCTTGCCGACGCCATCAACCCCGGCACGCTCATCTACTTTATCCGCATGGACGATGACGGCAGCCGCGATCGTTCCGCCACCTTCCTCGGCAACGTGACCGAGCAAGTTGCCAAAGCCTGTGCCGACATCGCCGCGCACCCGATCCTCTCTACCGCGCCCGCCATCGACGCCCTCGGCTTCAGCCAAGGCGGCCAGTTTCTGCGGGGGTACATCGAGCGTTGCAACAATCCACCCGTCCGCAACCTTGTTACTTTTGGCTCCCAACACAACGGCATCAGCGCCTTCCGCGACTGCCCCTGGTCCGACTGGGTTTGCCGCGGCGCCATGGCGCTGCTCAAGGGCAACGCCTGGACGCAGTTCGTCCAGAGCCGGCTCGTACCCGCGCAGTACTATCGTAACCTGGACGAGTACGAGCAATATCTCGAGCACTCCAATTTCCTAGCTGACATCAACAATGAGCGGATGTTCAAGAATCGGACCTACAGGGAGAACCTGGCCAAGCTGGAGAATCTGGTACTGTACATGTTTGAGGACGACACGACGGTGGTACCCAAGGAGACAGCTTGGTTTGAAGAGGTTAATGGCACCGAGATCACGCCCCTCCGTGCGAGGAAGATGTACTCGGAGGACTGGATCGGGCTGCGTGAGTTGGATCGCAAAGGCGGATTGCACTTCCGCACGGTGCCGGGCGATCATATGCAGCTTACGGACCAGTTGCTGAATGAGACGTTTGCCGAGTTCTTTGGGCCGATAAAGAAGGCCAAGAAGAGTGCTCCGAGGCCGATTATGCTTGGGGGCGGTGACCTCTGACGACGATGCATAGTAGTTTTGGTCAAAGGTGCCTTGTGGAATTCTGAGGGGTGGTTGGCTCCTCAATATATAGCAGCAGCTCTGTTTTAGGGATTTTTTTTCTTAGGGGGTTTGGATTTAGGACAAACAATTCGATCAATTCATGGATTGGAATCATGGACATTGGATAATTAATGGTAATGACAACAGGGCATGGGATTTTATTAACATTGGGACCTAAAGTAATGGTCAATCGCTGTTCACCATGGCAACTATGAACCTCGGCTGTTCTTCAACAGTTTAAGTGCTTGCATCACTACCAAGCAAGGGATCGGTCTCCGCCCTAGCTAATGACGAAAACACAATTATAATGCAAGGTACGGGGTGGGCTTTGAGACAGCGCATGGCATGCTCTTTGAGTGTGAGTCGAACAAAATGGGGGGGTTGAAGAGAGCAGTTGACCCGAAATGTTGACTAAGGATTTCGATCGAGATAGTCATCAAGTCACTTTATAGGAAACACCATTTGTATGCATGTGGTGGGTAGAGGTAGTGAGCCTGTATTCAGTCCAAGTAGGAGAGCTGTACTGAAGCCCAAGTGAAAACAGCTCGAGAACTCGAGATGGCGCAAAAGGGAGGTTGTTGTCCGTTCGAGCGGTCATCCATTCCATTGCTCGGCAATATAAAGGCTGGAACAGCTTGACCGAAAACTGAAGGATCGAGGGGTAAGTACTAGTACCTGCTGACCGGGTACGGAGGTGGAGCGAACCAAGCTTTGCACGTTGCGTCGCGGTGTAAACGCGCCAGACTCGGACTTTGGGAAACTGGCAGGTGGTTGGTGAGTTACTATTGTTTGGACATCCCGTTATGTATTGCCGTGGAAGGAAACAAGCTGATATGCAAATATTGTAGAGACCTCGGGTGCCATTGCATTATCAGAAGAGAAGAGCCAAGGGGGGCTCTGCACAATCCGAGCTTTTTCAATGGTGGAAACGCCATCGATCATGAATTTGATGAATACGACCGTCATGAGGAGTAGCGGTAATCGTAGAGTAAACAATCCAGCATGTTCGTGGGAACTCTTGTGAATATTTGAATGTTGGAAAAAGCAAGGACGTCATAAAGCAACTGAAATGGATGAACTCTCAATGCCAGTCGATCAGCTGCCTGAGATCCATGAAAGTGTGAATAAGAAAGCGTCTATTGACCTTGATCTTCCGCTCCATGAATAATGGTTGTTCACCAGAGAATGGCGGATACAATAGAAATAACTGAAAAGGAGTGGGAAAATGACTACCTTAACAAGATACCTAATGGACAAACGGAGGCACGAGTGGAGCTGGAGGTTTGCTGTGATCTGAGAGCAGGGAAAAGGTCCGGGTGTCGGGTGCCGAGCATGCGGGCACCTCCAGGGCAGGGGCAGGTATTCCATCCCCGACCTCCCGCCGTAACTCGGCCCGCCTGTGCCTGCGCTGTAGCTTCCGCTGATCGCCTTGCCCAGCAGTGGCATGACAGTGCGGTACAGCCGCTAGCAGACCAGACGGACCCCCAAGAATGCGTGGTGTTGCCTGGTTCCCGCCCGCCAGTGGCACTGCTGGACACGCTGCCAGGCAGTCCTCCACCCAACGCCAAAAGCGCGATCCAGACACTGTCCTGCGTGGCACGACAGGCACGACTAAAGGCTCAAGTACGCCAGCTTACAGGCTGCTGCCAGCGCCGCGTTGAACGGATGGAACCGCAGGCACGTCCGGGTCTCAGGGCCACAATGGAGAATCGCGTCTTTCTACCTCCAACTTCCTTGGCTGAGAGTTGTCGTCCGGACAGAAAAAAAAGCCAGGAACGCTCACCCATGCTCCTTTTTGGTGAATGGGTCCCACAGGCACGGGCGCGAAATCCAGATGGTGCATATCGCCTTTTTAAATACTTTACTCATCCCCACTCCCTTCGTTCCGCTACAGCATTTCCATCCTCTGCCCTGGCGTCGCTTGCCTGGTCCCATCATAGAACTGAAGACAGGCCAGATGTGCAAAGCCTTGTCTTGATTCGCAGAACCCCGTCTTTTGGCTTCTTGACGATTCCCGTCCCTTGGCTTTTTCTTCTTTTTCCAGCTCTGTTTTCAGGCCCTTTTCCCCGTTCCTTGTTGCAGGTAAACAGACCCCGGAGATAGGAAACTTAGTGGCCCAATCCAAGCCAGGAAATAGGCAGCTGGACGGCAGTGGACGGCAGCTGTAGCGGAGAGGGGGCAAAGACTTCACATCGGACGCGATCTGGACGTGGAGAACGCGACCTTGGAAGCGCATCCAATCTGAACCTCACCTCAGGTCCTGGGCCACACATACCTCAATATCCCAATCCGAGCAAGCTTCCACCACCCCGGCCTCTCCCAGAGCTCAATTGCTCATCCTGTCCCGCCAATTGTCATGACCAGTACCTGACAGGATCACCACAACATGGATTCATCCCCATCGGCAATGAAGACCCTCGGCGGGATGGAGCCAACCCTGCCCTCGGTAGCAGGCATCAAGCGCCCGGCCCCGTCACTGCTGCCGCCGTTTGAGCCTTTGTCTTCATCCCCAGGTCTGCCTCGGCCTTCGAAGCGGCAGGCCACGTCCAATGCCTTTCTGAAATATCCAACGCCCATCCCGACCTCGAGTACTGGCATTCTGTCGTCAAGCCCTCCACGCGTCGGGTACAACTATGGATATGCCGCCCCATATATGGCCCCCCGCCCCGGCCTTCAAAGGACCTTGTCGACCGTGTCGGAACGCGCCCCCCTTTCCGACGTACGCGCCGTAGTTATGAAAGAGAATGGAGAGACTCTTCTCATGGGAAGGTCCAGCAACTCATCTCACTATCAGCTGTCGTCGAACAGATTGGTCAGCCGAGTTCATGTTCACGCTCGGTATATCCCCGCCACGGAAACGCTTGAGCCCAACAAGGTCGAGATTACGTGTACGGGTTGGAACGGTTTAAAGTTGCATTGTCAAGGGCAGACATGGGAGCTGGCAAAAGGCGATTCCTTCACTTCGGAAACCGAGGGTGCGGAGATTATGATCGATGTTCATGACACTAGGGTCCTCGTGCAATGGCCGTCGCGGGAGAAGGATCGGGACTCGTCGGCCCCCTTGAGCGACTCTTCGTGGGATGAGACACCGAGGCCAATGCGACGTGGCCGGCGACCAGGCTCCGACTCGGACGAGGGCAGCCCCATTCGACGACCGAGACGTATCAGCAGCCCCGAGTCACCTACACCCGCCAACGGATCGACTTCCAAGGCCGACCTGGACGACTTGCTGTCAGACAACGATGATGATGGTGCCGCCGTTGAGATCTATGAGGACGAGGAGGAGGATGAGCAGGAACTGCCCAAGTTGACAGATACGGGCAGGGGAGATACTACCTTGATCACCAGCGTGGACCAGAGCTTTTCCATTTCGAGTGACTTGAGCGATCCACAATCAGATGAGGATTACGCCGACCAAGATCCGGATGAGGAGAATGACCCCATCATTCCTTCGTTTGGTCCCTGCGGCGAGAACCTGTCCAGCCGTCTCGAATCCTTCACCACCGCCACTTCACCCCCGAGAGCCCGAACTCCCGATCGCGACTACAGTGGCAGCTCTGATGGAGAGCGGGCTGGTAGTGTCACCCCGAAGCCTCTGAAGTCGTCAAGCGAGAACGTAGCAGGTGCCTCTCGGCAGGCCTCTCCCACTCCGGCTCCTCGCTCACCATCACCCGTCAGCAGGCTCAGCGAGGAACTGACAGCGACGATTTCGAATCATGTCATCAACCAACTCGCCTTCTCCAGACTGTCTTCCACGCCTTTGTCGACCATTATGAACAATCTTCCTGCGGATGATCGGAGACAGGTGACCAAGGATGAATTGCGCAGGCTCATTGAGGCAACAGCTTGTATCGGTATCATTGAACGCCAGGGCAAGGATGCTGCCGGTAAGCCGCTTGAAAGCGAGTATTATTATGTGCCCGAATTCGACACGGATGAGCACCGTCGCCTGGCTGTGACGGACGGCTTGCGGAAGCCTAGCTTGAGGGCCTGCCGCAAGCAGCACAAGGTAAGCGTTTTCCTTCTCTACCGCCTAACCGTTTGCTATGCAAGATCAATCGGTTAACATGTCGTGTCCACCCGTAACAGCAATACTATTGGAAGAAACCTCGCACTCCCTGATGGTATCACCACAGCCGCCCTATCATCATCACATCACCCCACCTCCCCAACATCCATCCAATATCCACCCAACACCCATCCAACACCCTACCCATACCCATTGTGCCATGTTTTCTTCCCCGAACCCGCTATGGCGTTAGGTTGTCAAGGCGTCTACTACGGGGAATCGCTGTTTGTGTTTTTCGCAAAAGAAAAAAAAAAGTCGACGTAAGCCCCTTTCACTGTCCATGTTAACACGTCATGAGGAGTTCATTGTGTCTCCCAAACTCTGTATTTGCATGCTTCGGGGGGCCGCATAGCGCAGGGCGTCGTTTTTTGTTCGATTTATATACATGTTTATCAGGCGTCAGCGTCTGTGTTATAGGTTTGCGCCCATTGGCCCAGAAGAGAAGGAAGAGAAAGAGAACGATGAGTTTCGAGTCGAGACCTGCTGTGGAGGTCAACCGGTGCTGTTGAGGGAGGAACAGTTATTTGCCGGCACGACATGGAGGAGCATCTTGAAAAGCAAGAAGTTGTCTTGCTGCTTACTTGAAAATCCAAGTAAAGATGATGAGATGAGGGAGGCATGTAACTGGCTGAGGTTGTCTGGCCTGGTGTGTGAGGTAGCTGCTAGCATTGTAGATGTGAAGGCATCTACAAACCAAATGAAGATGGCTATCTACCTACCTAGTCAGGCTGTTTTGCCGGTGCTGTTGGAAGAAGACACCGACGTCTATGATGATAAAGAAACCCAAGCTCTGGTTCCAACAGCGTGTATGGAAGAGCAGCTGCAGTCCGTCTGCCGCCAATAGCGTCAGGCCCAGACAATCACAGGCAACGTATGCCCCACATTCCGCAAACCCACTTTCCACATTTGACCCCTGTTTAGCTTATCGATAAGCTTAATAGCATGGAAAAAAAATAAGCGTCAGTGCACCGACCTCCCAAAATTTCCAGAGGGTGCCCTTCTGTCGTTCTGGGAAGAAAAAAAACACCTGGGACTCGTTGTCGCAATCGTCTCAACTTACACCAACCCCACCCAAAGATATCTTCTTTCCCAGTCAACGAAGATGTCCAAGTCCACAGCCGTTGTCAAGGCGTCTGACGCCGTCGCCTCTCCCGTTGACCCTAACCAGGTTTGTCTTTTCTTGATCAATGCAATTGGGCTTCTCCCCGAGTTGCTAACCGTCCAAATCAACAGATCACCAAGGCTTCCAAGGCCCTCCTCGCCCACATCAAGAAGGCCACCGCCGCCTCTACTGCCGTTTCCAAGAACCTTCTCGCCGATGAGGAGTCGACCGTTGCCGAGACCCCGATCTGGCTTACCCTCACCACCAAGAAGCACATCGCCGACACCAACCGTCTGCAACCCTCCAAGATCGTCCTCCCCAACCCCCTGAACGCCGATAACGAGTCTACCATCTGCATCATCGTCGCCGACCCTCAGCGCCACTACAAGAACGTTGTTGCTTCTGAAGAGTTTCCCGAGGACCTGCGCAACCGCATCACCCGCGTCATCGACGTTACCCACCTCAAGGCCAAGTTCAAGACATACGAGGCCCAGCGCCAGCTGTTCAACGACCATGACATCTTCCTTGCCGACGACAGAATTGTCAACCGTCTTCCCAAGCACCTGGGCAAGACCTTCTTCAAGAGCACCGCCAAGCGCCCCGTTCCTGTTGTGTTCATGAAGCAGAGGGAGAAGGTTGACGGCAAGCGGGTGGCCAAGCCCAAGGGTCCCAAGGCCAAGCGCGACCCCGTGGAGAATGTCAATGCTAGACCTACACCAGAGATTGTGGCTGAGATCCGCAAGGCCATTGGCTCGGCGCTCGTTTCGGTATGTTTCACTGGCTCGACAACTTTGTCCATCAAGGTACTTGTAGTTACACATTGGCTAACACGCATGTTTCTAGCTGAGCCCCTCCACCAACACCGCCATCAAGGTCGGCTACGCCAGCTGGGACGCCGAGAAGCTCGCGGCGAACGTCGAGAAGGTCATTAACGAGCTTGTCGAGCGCTTCGTGCCCCACAAGTGGAGCAACGTCAGGAGTTTCTACCTCAAGGGCCCCGAGACGGCGGCCCTTCCCATCTACCAGACCGACGAGCTCTGGCTCGACGACAGCAAGGTCATCGCCGACGGCGCCGAGCCCGAGAAGGCCAACATCGGCAAGAAGCGCAAGGCCGCCGATGACGAGACTGAGGCTAAGGCCGAGGAAGGTGCTAAGGACGAGAGCAGGCCGAAGAAGAAGGCCAAGAAGGCTGCTGCTGCCGCCGCTTTGCCCGAGAGCAACGACGACAAGCTCGACAAGGAGATTGCCACGCGGAAAGCGACATTGAGGAAGCAGAAGGCTGCGGCGAAGAAGGCTGTTGAGGTTTAATATCTTTTATTTTCTCTAAACTCTGATCTGAAGGGACTGACTTGGACTGGACTGGTTGGACTGGGTTTGATTGGTTGAAAGCGACAGGCAAGAGGAGAAGAATCAATTGTTGCTTGGCATTTGCTTGGCGTTTTGGCGTCCATGGTAAAACACAAAACACACGTTCGGGTTTCGTTGGAGTTGTTGTTGTTGTACAAAGACAAAGACACACACTATGGAAAGCTGGAAGTTAGGACGGGAGGTAGTATCTACTAGTTCTATGTACTAGAAGGCTGTTGATGAAGCGAAGATATCCTCATTGTATTCATGTTTGAGCGGATTGGGTGTGGAAATTGGCGTAGATGATGCAGACATTTCGATGGCGACGCTCATGGCTCTTGTTTTGCTGATGGCAATTTGGACCATGATAATATGTCTGGCTGTGTAAGTATGGTTGTCTAGTTAAAGGGATCTCAGTGCAAAAACACTTGCTAACGAGTCAAGCGGCCAGCCGATGGAAAACGATATCCTTTCGATCAAATCTTGATTAGAAAAACCTTAACAAACAACAACAGACGAAGGATCAGCGGGCATCACACAGCTCTCCCGAATTCCGACACTGGATGTGAGGAAACCCTACCTATCTCGGTAAAATTATCTGACCGCGAAATAACCCGACGGCATTCAGTAACCAAAGAAAGTGCCGCTATCTCACAATGAATTAATTGTTGGTGTTCAAAAAAGCAACTGACCTTGGAAGAGGTTCAGGACCGGGTTCAGCCGCTATACTGAAAAGGGAAAAGTCAGTTCCCCACCCCCGGATTCTCAGTGGCGCTTGCCCAAAACGAACTGTCAGCGCGACTCTGCGGCACTGTGCTGCATAACCTGTCTCCGGCCGGCAGTGACACTTGCCCCACTTTTGTACAGTATGTATCCTCGTCTCTCAAGACTTGCGATTCGACGTCCGTCGTAGTATTTTCTCTCTCTTCTCACTCTCTCCTCACACACAGTGTACATCAGTCCATCTTGAGCTGCCTTTCCAACTCCAATTTCAGCCTGTTCTCGCTGTTAGTGTAAGCACACCACAGAGAGAGGCATCCAGATCAACTGCCGAGAGCCACAAGACACCGATGACCACCAATTGTCATGTTCTCTAAGCTTCCGCGGAGAAGTGCAGGAGGCTTTGTCAGACAACTCTTCGATTAACGTGGACGACTCGACACTTACTCTTTGCTTCTCTTGCCTTCGAAAATACGACTTGAGGATGAAACATAGGAGTGTCTTCGGAATTCGGCATGGAGGAAATACCAAGTTTCAACCACTTCGGCCATCTCGGTGTTGTGGAGAGGCTTTCGCAAAGTCACATTGATGGGCCTTGACTTACAAGGGCGATACTACATCTCTCCACATTCTACGCTCCAAGACCCTGGGCTGAATGTCTCCGACAATGATCGCTGTCTACTTTTATTGCCGAGATGCTTTGTGTCGCTGATGAAGCTATCCCAAATCCCCGCCTTTCCTCCTCCTTGTGGCTGATCGACTGACCTCAAATGATATCAGGACATTCAACGGTCACCAATGGCGATGGACAAAGTGTTCGGTTCGGCGCGCTGGATTCGTCTAATGGTTCGTCCAACCACCCTCCCTTGCCAGAAGCCTCAACCGTCTCCTCTTCTCTCTCGGCAGATGTTTTTCGAGATGCTGGAAGAGAAGGGATGGTTACCGGCTTCCCTATGGCTATGGGAGCCCTTCTAGACACCCGGATAGCGGTAATATATGATCTCATCCTACCGCTTCCTGTGCAATCAGTCATGTCACCTACCTGTTTCCTTGTGATATAAGCTCCCAGAACCAGGAGCAGCAGTCAACTTTCAACAGTTGTCATACTACTACTTTTATTCCTACAGTCTAGGTGGTGGCACCAGAACGAAAAGTCCGTTCCTCGAGTTAGGCAGCAAAGATCGAGAACATTCAAGTTCTCTTTTTTTTTTTTCTTTTTTTTTTTCTTTTTTTTTACGAGAAGTCCTTCACCATCGGTGGTTCACGATAGTATCCTTACCATGGGTGTAGTGCTGAAAGTCAAAGATGGCAAAGTGTCTCCGACACGAGTGCTTGTAGGCGCAACCGCTACTGTGCTCGCCAGTTACGGGCTTTACATCCTCCTATTCGCCATCGTCATCCGTGCCGCCTACAAACGCTACGCCTCACCACTACGCAAATATCCCGGTCCCTTCCTGGCCTCCTGTTCGCGTCTATGGAAGGTCCTATCCACAGCAAGTGGCCGAACACACCTCGACCACATCGAGCTTCATCGCAAATACGGTCCTGTCGTGAGGATCGCCCCCAACGAGGTCTCGGTAGCATCACCTGAAGCAGCAAGGACCCTCCTGAGCGCCGGCAAGCGCTTCTTCAAGACTCCCTTCTATAGTGTCTTCCCACCGGCCGAGAACCCCGACATCTTCACCGAGATACGAGAAGATGCCCATGCTCAGAAGAAGCGAGTTGCCAACGTGCCCTACAGCATGGCTGCTATGCAGCAGCTGAGCCCCTTCATCGACGACACCATCGAACTGTTGGTGTGCAAGATCGACGAACACATTGCGCAACACAAGGGAGTGTTCGACTTGGGCGATTACCTGCACTACTTTGCCTTTGACGTCCTCGGGGAGGTGGCCTTCAGCAGGAGTTTTGGATTCCTCGCACAAGGTCGGGATGTGGACAACGCCATCAAGACGATTGACAAGTCCCAAACATACAACGGCATCGTGGGACAAGTACCCGAGCTGGATCACCTGCTGAGAAGGAACCCACTGTGGCGGTCCATCCCGTGGTTGAGCACCAAGAATGCTTTGATCACACGGATGGCGCTCGAGGAGATGGGTCGGAGACAGCCTTTTAACAAGGACACAGCGGTATTGCAGACTGGCGATACTAGGCAGGATTTGATGGCTAGTTTGATCTTGGGGCATCTGAAATCTCCGGAGAAATTTGGTGTGGGGGATGTCTTTGCTGTTGCGCATGGTGCCATGTGAGTTTGTTAACCACCCATTTCCCCCTCTTCATCTTTTTGAAAACATGATGACTGATCTTTCTTGATTTTGTTGCAACAGCTTCGCCGGCTCCGATTCCACCGCCTCAACAATGCAATCCTTCTTCTACCACGTCCTCTCCTCCCCATCCACCTATCAGTCCATCCTCTACGAGATCCAATCCGCCGTTGCCACGGGTGCCATCCCCGCCATTGGCAACCTAACCTGGAACGAAGCCCAGACCTTGCCTTACCTACAAGCGTGCCTCAAGGAAGCCATGCGCCTCCGTCCCGCCGTGGGACTAAACATTACCCGGTTTGTCCCTCCAGAGGGCGCAGAGCTTGATGGTCACTTCTTCCCTGGTGGTACGAGCATTGCTGTTAACGGGTGGGTGCTGCATCGTGATAAATTGACGTTTGGAAAGGATGCGGATGAGTGGAGGCCGGAGAGGTGGTTGGAGAGCGAGGAGGAGGCGAGGAGGATGGAGAGGTATATGTTTCAGGTGAGTACCCTACCTACCTCTCGAACAGATGTGGATGGAAGAGGCAAGATGCTAACGAACAAGAAAACAGTTTGGAGGTGGAAGTCATCTATGCATTGGAAGGAACTTGGCGCTGTTGGAGATCAACAAGGTTGTTCCGAGACTGCTGAGGGATTACAGGTTTGAGCTGGCGCATCCGGGGAGGGAGCTGAAGGCTACTGCGTCCTTCTTTGTGGTGCAGAGTGGGTTGGAGGTTTTTGTGCGTAGGGCCTGAGTTCGATTTTCGGGTTTTCAGCGAGTCTTGGTTGTTTTGTTGGTCTTGGTCAAGGCTTGTTTCCTTTCGCTTTCGGCCCAACAACTTCTCCCGGGTCTTACACACCTGCCCATAACGGTACGCGTCTGGTAACATCTATGGTAGAAGCAACAAGTACAAGAACGAGAACACTAGCAACGTTCCAGTTAGCGGGATCTTTTGCCCAGGCACAACACTTGCCGTACCTTGGTAACGTACTTGGTGGATTCCAACTCTACGTGAACTTCCGGACCACTTACCGATCATCTTACCTACTAGGTCGAACCTTCGAAGGGTGACAGATAGTACAACCTTGTATTAGCCTTTGGATGTACAAACAATCAAGATAAACGAGGGCGGGAGGAAGCGAATGGTGACATCCGCGAATGGGAACCTCCAAAGCTCGAGTTTATCCATATTCCCAGCTTCCGGCCAGCACCATTGTGGCCAAGCTTACTCTGGAACTGAGACCAAAAATATCGATTTGCCAACTCCTGAATCAATGGCGACAGCTCAGTGTAGCAAGCTTCGATTACCATTTCGACTCAGCTTACGGACTTGTGTTTCCCAGCCCACGGAATGGCACCCTATCTATCATTCGAGTCCGACGATGGTTACCCAGTTGTTATTTCCTGTTCCATTGGCAGGGGCTGGTACTTCAGGTAGCGAGGAGAGGAAAGATATGGTTCAGAGCCCGTGAATCTAGACGATGAAATCACGGCTTGGTGTACGTTTGGACAAGGAAGACTTCGGGATCGGAACGCGAAGTGATATATAATTGCTAGCCCCCAAGCAAGTATGGTAATGATCATCCGCCCTCCTTTCATATGAGGAGTTTCCTTCGGGCGTATTACCGGCTTCAGATAGAGTGAGGGATCATCACTAACAATCGTGGGACGGAGAGTCAACGGCAATCAACCTACGACACACACCTCGTTCCTTCGACTCTTGCCGCCATGGGTCTCTTCACTTTGTTGCTAAGGGTACTTGTAATAACCTTGGCGACGATCTCCCACCACATTGGTATTGTTTCCGCTCAAACAGGAACGGGGTGCAACCGAACAGTCAAAGCCAAGGCCGGAGACACCTGTGCCACCATCGCCGCCGCCAACGGGATAACCGTCTCCCAGTTTCTCCAGTCTAACCCCGGCATAACCAGCTGCTCACAGCTCACAGTTGGGTACGACTACTGCGTGGACGGAACGGCCACGGGCACCGCTAACCTGCCCACGCCGACGGGGCCAGATAAAACAGTCAGCACCGACGGCACGTGTGGGAACGGGGTTACTTGTCTGGGATCCCGCTTCGGCAACTGCTGCTCGGAGCACGGGTTCTGCGGCGGGTCGGCTGATTACTGCGGGGCTGGGTGTCAGTCGGATTTTGGAATATGCGGAGTTGAGTCCGGGACTTCTTCGTCGACGAGCTCAGCGCCGCCGGTCACTTCACCACCCACGACCGGGCCCGGGGAACCTTGTGGAACGGTGACAGTCACGACTACGAGCACTGCCTCGTACATCTCGGTGACTACAAGAACAGCAACGTCGGTTACTACGGCGACCGCGACCATCTCGGCGACGGCAACGGCCACGGCTACGATCACGGCAACGGCTACGTCGGTGGTTACCACTACGGCGGGTGGGACAACAGCTACGAGGACGGTAACTGCTACGACTACTTCGACGTTGACAAGGACGGCTACTACAGGGGTTACCCAGACCTCGGTGATTTTGACGACGTCAACGAGTGTGGTTAATGTGACGAACACCGTGCCTATCACGGCTACCGTACCTGTTACGGCCACGGCCACAGCCACTTCCACGTTAACGCTTACAACCGTTACCACATCGACAGCTACAGCTACATCCACGACGGGGGTTATTCGCACCATAACCTCAGTGATTTTAGCAACCTCAACAACTACCGTCAACATAACCAACACCGTCCCGGTGACAGCCACGGTACCCGTCACCGCCACCACACTCATCACAACCACGGAAACAGCGACAGCAACCAACACCATCCCCATCACCGCCACCGCAACGACAACAGCCACCCTTAGCACAACCTCCACTATAATCGCAACCTCCTACACCGGCATAACCCGCACCTCCGTAATCCTCACCACCTCAACCAACATAATCGACACCACCAACACCGTAACTCTCACGAGAATCAACACGCTCACCACCACCCTTCCCATCTACGTAACCAGTACCCAAACACAAACACAGACCAAGCCCATAACCACCACAATCCCAGTGTACATCACCAACACTAAACAAGTCACAGCCACAGCCACAGCCACAGTAACAACTACTTCGACAACATGGACCTACAGCTACAGTATCGCTACTCTAACAACCATCGTCACTGAAACCGAGACGTCAACGAGCGTCAAGACGTTGACGAGCACGAGGGTGACGCAGGTTACTAGTACGAGTACGAGTACGAGTATTTCTATTGGTACTTTGACGAGTATTGTTTATAGTACTGCGACTGCTACTGCTACCAAGACAGTGACGGACACGAAAGCGCCGCCGATTGTGACGACGATTGCTACGGTGACAAAGCCGGGACAGGTGACTACGTATACGTATACGGTTACTAGTACGGTTACGAGTACGGTGACGGCGGTCCCGGGTGGTGGTGGGAATGGGAATGGAAATGCGCCGGGGCCGGTGGTGCCGGGGACTTCAAAGACTTGTTAGTTATTATTTTCCTTTTGTATGTCTAGCCCCTTTACTCGACTTAGCTCTTTCCCATTTTTGAGATTGGGAAAAGATTGTGCATGCGCTGACTCGAAAACGTTTTGTTGTGAGCGGTGGTAGGCAGGGCATACGATAAGATTACCAGTGACAATAGTTGTAGGGATATTGCGAATCGGAATGGGTTGTTGTTGTTGGATTTGTGAGTTTGATCCCCTCTTTTTTTTTTTTTTTTTTTTTTTTTTTTTTTTTGAAATTGGATGTTAACATGGGAAATCTCTTTAAGTTACAAACTCAATCCAGGGGTAAGTAAACAAAACGCCGGCGAGTGGTAGATTGTGTGAATTGTTCCTGTGCTAACCGATGCCTTTGTGAAATAACAGATCGACTGCGATCACTTGTGGCCGGGATACTACGTGTGTACTCGGGCATAGGAAGGGGAGCATGAAGAGTTATGGGATTGGACCGGCGAAAGGTTTGCTGGAGAAGAGAAATGAGGGTTGGAGTAGTACCGCAATGAATGAGTTGACCATATTTGGTTCTTGTCAATTATCTGTCGGTAACATAACGTTGGTGATCTTCGAGTGTCTGAAAATACCGAACGCATCTGCAACTGAGGTGTACCTGCAGTAGGTATCTTGATGGCAGGGAGATGGTAGTGTCTTGGGTAGGGAACTGCACATACAGTAACTGAAAGTACAGTTCTTTGGCTGTTCTTTTAGCAAAGCTCCAAGTATTCCCGTTAGTGTATTGACTAGCCGCCTAACGCACCTCTAGCCCGCTCTGGTCCCGTCTGGCCCGCGGCTTAAGGGATATTCCGTGGCATTGATGTAAAGACTTCTCACTAAACAGGCGAATGAATGGTCACAACAATAAACCAAACACGCCACGGTCAGTACATTACGCCTCGGATATACTCTTTTACGCATCCAAGCGTCTTCATTACACCTTTGAACCCAAACTCGAGGCGGTTCCTGGATGGAAAACCATCTAATGGACTCCGGCTAATGTGTTATCAAAAATTGTAATCCCCGTCACAATTTAGCCTTTCAACTACAACGAGCGGTTGATCGGTAACGACGAAAAAAACACCGAACCACTATCGTGAGCAGACACACTCTCCGGCGGAAAGGAGCGAAGAAAACAGACGATTCTTATTCAGACCGACACACACCTCCCGTGGGACCACGCGACAAATTCCTCGATCGGATATTGCAAGCTGCAGTTACCGTTACGTGGATCCAACGTCACCTGATGCACCCCTTCCCGATCCTCCTTTCTCCTTTTTCCTTCCCCTCGCTCTGCTTCCGTCCCCAAACTCCAATCCAACCAGCCGTTTTACCCCAGCTTGCCCAGCCTTTGCCGAGCCGTTGATGGTCGAATCGACGAAAACACCGACAACCCCACAAACGTGACATGGAAACGCCGGGGCCGACGGCTGGACTGAACTAGACTTTCAAATGTCAAGCTAGGTACACTACCATCTCCAGATCAGACCGACATTCCCCAGATGGCTAGACAAAAGAAAATACCCCAAGAAGCGAGGAAGAAAGCGAGCGGGGTATGGGTATGGGGTAGTATGGGGTAGCCGTTGCCCGTTGGCAGTTTCTCCTCTATATGTGCATACCCGTAACTAACAAGTCAATCATTGTCACCCCATATTGTATCATTCCTTCCATACGGTTGCCTCTTCGACGATGATTTGAAGGGGAGGAGAGAAAGCCCGAGGGAACGCGGAATTTCTCGGTAGCTTGTCCCACCAGGTATCAGCATCAGCACCTCACTCAAATATCAAAGCCTTTCCAGTGTCAAGGCATAATATTAGGTTGAACACTCTCTTCCACTCCTCAATTCCGCTCTAAACTATCTACTCTTTGCCATATCCGATCACCAACACTGCAAAGCATTGATCGACCTCGGCCGGTGATATCTCCAACAAATGACATTTCAACCCAGTCCATAACACATGTCAAGGGGCTTGGCATCTTGAAAACATTCAACATCATACAGCAGATCTGAGTAATTCATCTCCATCGATTACATCATCGGTCCAGCATCCCCCAACCCACAAACAATCACCACCACCACCACCACCACGACAAAAAACACCAAGAACGCCTAGAGGTATCTACCTATCAACAACTCACCAAGATCCAAAACCATCAACCACTATGCCGAAACAAGCCTCCTCAATAACCACCCTCCTCTCCTCCCTCTCCGTCCTCGCCAAAGCCACCAACCCCTCCCGACCAGCCCGCGCTTCCCTCCGGATCCACTTCCCCGGCTCCCCCTCTCCCACCACCGTCTCCACTCCAGGCACACCCCTCACCAAAGACGCTGCCGCCCTGCCCCCCTCTTACTCCATCTCCGCCACCGCTCTCTCCAACATTACTTTACCCAACTGCGACCTCAGTCCCGTCTCCAGCCACCACTCTTCTCCCTCTTCTTCTGGCCATTCTAGGAGAGGCTCCGAAGCCAACAACGCCGCCGGCCAAATTCCTCATTACATGGTCATCTGTCTCGATCTCGACCCGCCGTTTCCGAGTTTTCCTGTCTTGGCACCGATTTTGCATTCCCTCGAAGCAGATCTGAGGTTGGTGACGGAGGAGTTGGATGCCGATGAGGGGTATATTTATCTAACGGCGGATGAGGAGGAAGCCTTGGGAAACGAGGGGATAAGTCACCCTACAAGGGGGGAAAGGAGGACAAAGCCGGTGGTGGGGTACATGGGGCCGAAACCGCCGGGGGTGAGTAGTCCCCATCGCTATGTTTTCTTGTGCTGGGAGCAACCGGAGGGTGTGACGGGACAGAAAGTGAGAGAGGTTTTGGGGTTAAATAATGATGAGGGAGGAGAAGAAGGGGAGGATGTGGGATTAGCGAAGAGGGTGAGATGGGACCAGGACAGTTTTGAGAGGATGTTGGGATTAGGGAATGTGGTGGCGGGAAATTATTTTGTCTGTTGAGGATGGCCTGGTGTTGGGATAAGGAAGGTAATGAGAGGAAGGGATCAGGTTCAGGGTTGTTGTAGGATGGGGAGATGAGGATATTACCAAAGTTGGGTACTTTTATGTCCTACTTCTGGGATTTGCTGATCATGGATTTGGGTCAGGAAGACCGCAACGTTTGGCTACACACCCAAGATTGTACGAAAGACTGTAATACTACCATATCTTTCGAACACTGCCCGCATCGGTCTTTTGGACCAAGTATTGATACATTAAATCCACTCTCAGGTTTCACATCCTTCTTCTTCACCTTCAGGATACTCATCACTCACTACTTTATCCTTCCTCAACTCCATCCCCTTCTTTTATTTACAAATGTCCCTTCTGAATTACTGAACTCTTCCAAATCTTCGGCCCCAGAGGCCCAAATGTCGTCGTTTGAGTACGGACACAGACTTTCTTGCACTGACCATCCTGATCACACGTCCCTTAAGCAATATAATGGTTTCAGTTGACTGTGAGAAGACTTTGGTCTGTTTCGCTTCTCTCGATACTTTGGTTGGGGTGAGTACATGGAGGCATTACGTTGGATAAAGATGGATGGCCGAAGATGACATTGTATTACGACATCACTTCGCTGAACCAGAACATATAATGTCGTTGGTATGCAAGGATCTTGGATTTCTTGACAAGGTGCTAATTCGCTCTCAATAGCTCAGATACACTCTGCTTTCCCATGGCTTTAATGTGCCAGCTTCCATCATAGACAAATCCTTCTTCTTCAGAGTAGTCACCAACAGCCGCTCCCCCCCGTGTTTGGATCCCAGCGTAGCTGCCACATTGAGATTATGCTCCTGAAGGATAGCCGGCTTTCCAGAGAAATTCATGACGACTAATGCCTTCCTCTTCTTGTCTGCCTGGACACCACTCTCTTCCGAACCTTGATCGTCCTTGACGTAAACAAACAGTGTCTCGTCCTCTTGCAGTACAGGCCTGAACGCACCATGCACGAACAGCCCGGCGTACTCCTTCCTCAACTTCAACATCTTCTTGTAGAACCCAAGGATCGACTCCTCATCTCCCTCCTGCTTCTCCACACTCAGATCTTTAAACCCATCATGCACCCTCATCCACGGCGACACTCCAGCAGATGTGAAGCCCGCATTGGGTGATGCATCCCACTGCATCGGTATCCTCGAGTGATCTCTCGCCAGGATCCTCAGACCCTCCTCCGTCTTCCTTATCCTCTCTGCATCCCCAGACGCCTTTGCCTCTCTGTAAAAGTTCAAGCTCTCAACATCCTTATACTCCTGCTCAATCGCCCACTCCTTCGGCATATTGACCATACCGATCTCCTGCCCCTGATACAAGAAAATGGTCCCCGTCAGCGTCGCCTGCCACAACGCAATAGTCTTTGCGCTCGCCTCCCACGACTCCACAGTCGAATCATCTCCAAACCTTGACACCGCCCGCCCGTTATCATGATTCTCGCAAAACACCGTGTGCCACCCATCCGTACCCTCCAGCCACTGCTGCCACGTCGCCACATACGCTTTCAGCTCCGACAGCGGGAACTCTCTGTACAAATACTTGCCATGAAACGGCCCGCCCGTGCCCAAGCGGATGGTACTAAACTCAAACACCATATCCAGCTCCCTGGCCGCAGCCGACACATACGGCAGGACCTGGCTCGGCAGAGGCGTGTTGGACAGCTCGCCCACCGAGACGGCATTGTACGGCGCCAGCACCTGCTCGTTCATTTCGCGGATGAACTCGTGGATGCGCGGCCCGTTGCACCACATTTCCGCGGCGGGCTGGTCCGTCTCGCCTGGCATGGTGACCGGCGCATCAGGAAAGTCAGTGCGCTTAGAGTACTTGTTGACGGTGTCGATGCGAAAGCCGTCGACGCCACGATCGAGCCAGAAGCGCATGGCCTCGTTGTAGATGGCCTTACGACACTCTTCGTTCTCCCAGTTTAGGTCGGGTTGGGAAGTGTCGTACAGGTGCAGGTAGTACTCTTGGGTCAGCTCGTCCCAGGTCCAGGTGGGACCGGCAAAGTAGCTGCGCCAGTTGGTGGGCGGCATGCGGTTTCCGTTGGCGTCGTAGCGGGCCGGCTTCCACATGTACCAGTCGCGCTTGGGATTGGTTTTAGAGGAGCGCGATTCTTGGAACCACGGGTGTTGGTCGGAAGTGTGGTTGACGACCAGGTCGAGAATCAGCTTCATGCCGCGGGCGTGGCAGGCGGCGATTAGGTTGTCGACGTCGGAGAGGGTGCCATAACGGGAGTAGACGGCTTGGTAATCGGAGATGTCGTAGCCCATGTCTTTTTGGGGAGATTCGAACATGGGAGACAGCCACACGCAATTGACGCCTAGGTCGTGGAGGTAGTCGATTTTGGCGATGAGGCCGGGGATGTCACCCCAGCCGTCATTGTTGGTGTCTTTGAAGCTAGCTGGGTAGACTTGGTAGAAGACAGCTTCTTTCCACCAAGGAATCTTGCCCATGCAAAGGGAGGTGTCGTTTACGGAACCCATGATGGATCAGGGCTTGAGCTCAGGTTGATTGAGTCCGATACTTCAGTGTTTTGTAAGCCTCGATCCGTTATCAATTTCCAAATCGATATACTCACAGAGTGAGACCAGGCTTTTATCATCGATCAAAACAGATGAAGTTTAGTGGAAGTAGGGAACGCCCAAGTAAGTGAACAAAGATTTCGAGTTGACAAAGTCTCTAGGGGTGTGTAATGAAGACAGTTAATGAGGGGAATATGACACCAACTACTGGAGTACAGATGAAGACGAAAGGCTGAAGAGAGGAGATTTCCTGGTACGATCTTCACACAATGTCGTGAGAGAGGGGTACGATCCTACCTCTACATTGTACTTATCCACGAAGAGCATGAAGGACCAGATGAGGAGTAAGAAAATCATCATTAGCGAGATCAAAAGCGAACTTTCGGCTAGCTGGGATCCCACTCAATAGAAAAGTCGGAGTGTCCATATTGGAGTCGGAGCTCAGGTGCTGTAAAGATATCACCTCGGTTCATCTCTTCGTCTGGTTGAATGAACTTCCTGGTGTTGGGACTGTGGTTGCCACTGTCTTTGATATCAATGTCTTTCAATCTCCGACCTCCTTGTCGCTTGTAAGATTTTGTTGGGACCGCTTTTAGAAGTCCGGAGGTACGGGAATACCAACAATTCATCGCTCAAAGAGACTGATTAAGTGCGCTGTTGATGATACTGGGCAAGTATCCTCAACGTAGCGAAGTCATGACATGAGAGTCTCATTGGCTCAACTACCCTCCGGCCCAAAAAGTGTCGATTAACTTGATCAAAGGGTCAAAAACTCCGACACCCTTGTCCCCGATGCAACCCTCACTCTTTCTGACAGATCCACAGACGTCACTGGCTTGGACTTTTTCCCTCAACTTTATTGGTTTCGAGGCATTCTTTCACAGTCATTCACACCGGCCCAGCACTCTGGCTCATCTGGAAATCGCCATGTGCCATGTGCCGGGGCAAAATGCGAGACAGGGAAAACGAGATCCCCCTTACCCCGGATTTGTAAACCTGAGCGACTACACTAAAACGTGGGGTGCGGGGAATGGAGAATGGACCAAAGAACAGATGATGTGACCAACCGTCTAGACTACCTCTAGACTATGCCGCAGAATATTTAATCCCTTTTCGACAGGGTGATGATGTGTGGAATGTGCTGTCACCCTATTCTAGATGGTAACGGTTAAGGTTGAGCGAAGCTGTTGATCTTTTCCAGACCCGGGAAACGTATCATCACTCTCTTCTGGTCAGATTTGGGTACAGAGCAAGGCCACGGTTGTCGCACCGAAGGACGGAGGGCGGAGGCTGGCTTTTTTTTTCTCCCCCCGGCCACGTGGGTTGGCCTGGATTCTCGGGACAGTGTATGGCAATGCCGATGACGATCCACCTCCCAGCGGGCAGACTACTAACACCGTCTATTCGACCCTTTTTGGGAATCATCCCCCCTTGATACTTGACCACGATCTCTGTGAATGCACACATAAAGGCGCACGATTTCCGGACTTCGTTTCGCCATTCTTTCCTTTTTTTTTCTTTCTTTTTCTCCATTCACAAGCTCTTTTGGGACTTGGATACTCCTTCATCACTTCCTCCTGAATCATCTTCCTCATAGTATTTGGCCGAGGTCAGCACTCTTCCACCACAATGGCGGACCAAAAACCCCCTACCTCTTCGCCTGAAAAGGCCACAGAGGCGGACACCACCACCACCACCACCATCCCCCAAGCCCAAGCCCAAGACGACGTCGTCCTCGTCGAAGCCAAACACGCCGCCGACACCGAGCACGAAACGACCCTCCTCCGCGCCATCAAGCTCTACCCCAAAGCCATCGGCTGGTCCGTCCTACTCTCCTCAACCTTGATCATGGAGGGCTACGACCTCGCCCTCCTGGGGAGTTTATACGCCTCCCCCGTCTTCAACAAGAAATTCGGCGAGCTCAACCCGGCCACGGGCAAGTACGCCGTTTCCGCTGCTTGGCAGTCGGGTCTGTCCAACGGGGCAAGAGCTGGAGAGATCTTTGGTTTGATCTTTGCTGGATGGGCGGCTGATCGGATTGGGTACAAGAAGACGACGATTGCGAGTCTGGTGTTGATGATTGCCTTTATTTTTGTCTTGTTTTTTGCGCCGAATGTGAAGGTGTTGGTGGTTGGGGAGATTCTTTGTGGTGAGTTTGCATGTCTATATCTCGCATTATACAGTTCCTTTGCAAGGATCGATATGCAGTCTCAATGTCCTGAAAGGTCGTATGCTAACCTTCGGTCCGAACCAAAAACAGGTATCCCCTGGGGTGCCTTTCAGAGCGTTACACCCGCCTATGCCTCCGAGGTTGCGCCGATGGTGCTTCGCCCGTACCTGACAACCTTCATCAACATGTGTTGGGTAATTGGCCAGTTCTTCGCCGCTGCCGTCAACAAGGGCTCCCTGGGCCGGACCGATCAGTGGGCGTACAGGATCCCCTTTGGCGTGCAGTGGGTGTGGCCGATTCCCATCCTCGCCGGGCTCGTCTTTGCTCCCGAGTCGCCTTGGTGGTATGTCCGACATAACAGGAGGGAGGAGGCCAAGCAGTCGCTGCTCCGTTTGACCTCGAGGAATCAACCCGGATTCAACGTGGACGAGACGCTGGCTATGATTGAGCATACCAATGAGCTCGAGAAGCAGCTGAAGGAGGGTGTCACTTTCAGCGATTGCTTCAGGGGTATTGATCTTCGCCGTACGGAGATCGTCGTGGGCATTTGGCTTGTCCAGACCCTCGGCGGCCAGAACCTGATGGGGTACTTCTCCTACTTCCTCACGCAAGCCGGCATGGACCCGAGCAACTCGTTCTCGCTCTCCATGGGCCAGTACGCCCTCGGTATGGTCGGCACCGCCGGGTCGTGGTTCCTCATGTCGCGCGTCGGCCGTCGACGCATCCATTTCAGCGGTCTCTGCGCGCAGTTCTGTCTGCTCGTCATCGTCGGCTGTCTCTCCTTTGGCGGAAACAAGGCCTCTGTGTGGGCCATCGGCGGCGTACTCATCGCGTTCACGTTCGTCTACGACTTTGCTGTCGGCCCAGTGACGTATTGTCTCATCTCCGAGCTGTCGTCAACTCGTCTAAAGGCCAAGACTATCGTGCTTGCCCGTGCGGCGTACAATGCTAGTAACATCTTTGTCAATGTAATGACGAATTACCAGCTGAGCTCAACGGCGTGGAATTGGGGTGCTAGGACGGCGTTTTTCTGGGCGGGCAGCTGCTTGTTGTCGGCTATATGGGTATACTTTAGACTGCCGGAGCCGAAGGGGAGGACATACGCCGAGTTGGATATTTTGTTTGAGAAGAAGGTGGCCGCGAGGAAGTTTAGGAAGACCAAAGTTGATCCTTTTGACTTGCGCAGTCATGGTGAGAAGAAGATGTCGCTTGAGAAGATGGAGAGTCATGAGGGGAAGGAAATCGAGGCTTAAAGGATGATGTTAGAGAGAAAAGTCTGTTACCTGACTGAAAGCGACTCAATGGTACATTTGGTGCATTTGAAATTGTCCGTCCCTGGCTACAGTCAGTGAGGAAGAGTGAGTGTCTCAGATCATTCGGAGAGAATGAAGTCAAGTTTGGAGGTCAGTACCTAACCATGTCCGGTCGTGGCTTCGGACTCGATGACCGCTTAAACGTGTAAAAAAAAGTTACCTATATATTGCGAAGAGCAAAGCTGGGATGAGCCCATGTTAACGAACTAAAGTCGACACCGCCTTGACACGTAAACGAATGCTTACCAGACACAATATCTGTTGATGCCGTGGATGATTACTTCAAGTCCACATTTGCCTCCTTTCTAGGCAGCCGCTCTGTTTCCCTTTTCAGGCGGCTTGGTGACTCTTTAGGGGCTAGTGCCAAGTCAATATAGCCGGTATAACGCCGTAAAACTTGAAACGAAGGGCAGGGTTCCATTGGAGCGACATTTAGGTCATCCCATCACCATGTCCGATTCCAGGCTTGCGAACCTGCGGCCTTCTTCTCCTTTTCCACCACCATTTTTGCCAGTCATAGTGGGACGGACCGTAGCGGAGCTCGGCCACACAAAGACACCCTCGCACGTTTATCGCGTGTGCCTTAAGACCGATCCCAAGAGGCGCGTCTTTGATCCGATTTCCTGGTTAGGGACGGGACGAGAAGAGGGCAGGGACTGGCACCGGCGGCATATTGAAACTCACCATGGGAGAGTAGGACGACGCTTTTAGGCGATAGGCGACGACATGGGTGAGAATGACTATGACGATAACGCTTTCGTCAACCGACATGTCCCCGAGGAGGGAACCGCTCCTGCGACTGCTGGCCATTCGGCTCAACCCGTACCTGCACCTACAAGCGGCTCGTTTTCCTCGTCCAATGCGGTAGCGTTAATGTCGTCGCATCACGGTGACATTTCTTCAGTAGCATCAGCAGCAGCTTCCGGTCCAGGTCCAGGTCCAGTACGAACACAGAAGAAGAGAGCCCAGGTGTCCAAGGCCTGTCAACGATGCAGAAGACTGCAAAAAGGGTGTAGCGAATCGAGGCCATGTCAGAGGTGCATCGGTGTCGGATTGGAGGATCAATGTCTCCGGAGCGAGAGGATGATTGGATGTCATCAAAGTGGAAGTCGACAACAAGGACAACACCCCCAGACGCAGATACATGTTCTACTGCCCCGATCTCATGCCCATGCCGCCGGACTGGTATCAGCTACAGCCTCAGCTTCAACAGGGGCGACCACAACAGCAACAACAACGACATGGTCCTTCACCCAACTCCCAGCCAGCCCCGAGAGTCTGGTCAACTACCCTCTCTCAGGCGGTGCAGCATCAGCCAGCTCTCCTCACCAGACCCAGCATCATCATCATCAACAACAGCAGCAGCAGCACATAACCCCCCTTCCCAAGCCAGTACTCGACCACTGCATCACCCGCTTCTTCTCCCGCCTCTACCCCACCATTCCCATCCTCACCCCTACTTACATCAACCACCTCCTTCACATCTCTTCCTCCACTCAGCTCAGCCAACCTCTACCTCTAGATGACAGAGGCGCCGAAGCCCAAACCTTACTCCTCTCTCTCTGCGCCCTGGCCCTCCTCCAAATCGAACACCCTTCCCATTGTCTCTTCACCTCCATCGGCATCCCGCACTCCAACTCCGTCTACGGCCGTTTACTCTTTGAAGAGGCACAAGCCAGCCACCATCGTCAACTGTTGGCTTCGGGCACAGGCACAGGTGCCGGTACAGGTACAGGCACAGGCACAGGCACGCCACCAAAAAGGTTTGCCCCGACGTTGGAAAGGGTATTGATTACTTTTTTCTTGTACGCCTGTCACGCGGTGCTGTTTCATCACTCTCAGGCCTTTTTTTGGTTAAGGGAGGCGACGACGCTGTGGCTTGTTTTGAGGGTTGGTTGTGATGATGATTCTTCTGGATCTGAAGAAAGAAAACAAGACGAAGAAGAAGAAGAAGAAGAAGAAGAAGAAGAAGAAGAAGAAGAGGAAAGAAGGGGTGGGATGACGCGGATAAGGAGAACCCTAGCGAATCGGTTATTTTGGGTGCTTTTGGTGAGCGAAAGGTCGCATGGGATTAGGTATCGGAGGCCGATAACGCTGCAGATTACGCCCGCCACACCATCGCTACCTCTGGATATGGGCTGTGCCGATCCGGAGTTGACAGGGCTGGCTAGCTTGGTGGCGCTGTTCAGGCCGTTGGATACGGGGTTCATGGCGTTGTTGAACCAGGAAGTGACAATGACCTCGAGCGCATTTGGGAGTCCGGCGATGGTGGCGGGGCCGTTGGATGTGGTGGAAAGAGCGATTGCGGAGGCGGTGCCTGGTCCTAGCCCGGGTTCGGGTCCGGGTTCGAGTTCAGGTCCGGTTTACCTCCCGTCCATGTCGCCAGATGGACACCTGATGGATTCGATGTGTGTTTCTTCCCCTCCACCTCCACCACCACCACCACTACCTCCCTTCCCTTCTCCTCCTCCTCCTCCAAACACGACGACCCCTTCCCTCCTTCCCACCAGCCACCTCCACACAACCCAAATCGCCAACCTGAAAATCACCCAACTCTGGCTGCGCGTGATCCTCTGGCAGATCCGCTTGCGCATCGGGTTATTGATCCCTCCCCCTCCCCGTCCTCTTCCACCGTCTCCTTCCGCCCCCCTGATAGTTTCCCCTGCTACCATCAAGGAATCACTAACCTACCATCACCCCCTCTCCATCGCTCACCAGCTCGTCCAAGTCACCAAATCCTTGCCCCTTGAAAGCATTCGTGTGCACGGCGTCGGGTTGACGGAGAAGGTCTTTGATGTCGCTTGTGCCATGGTGGATGTCTTGGCCAAGGTGCCTTTGGAAGATCGGAGGAGGTTTTCTGGACCTTCTTCTGGGCCTTCTTCTGGGTCGATGGGGTCCTTGCTAGAGGTAATGACAAGGGAACGGCAGGAGGAAGAGGAAAGGGAGGATTTGGAGTGGATCAGAGGGTTGATTCATCGGTTACCGGGTGGGAGCGCAATTTATGACGATCTGTTGGGGAAACATATTGCTGGCGTGTTGCCGGACTGGGGATTGAGGAGTTTTTGAGGGGGATGATGTGGTAGTGTTGATGTTTGTGGACGAATTTTGGTTACTTTTGGGAAGAAAATGGGATTTGGATACATACTGGTGTTCACTTGCATTGAGGAAAGATGTGCGAAAACAAAATGGTAATGATGTCTGCAATCTTGCATGTATCGACACAGACGCATATATGACGTCGATGGTGATCTTGACATACAGAGGAACAAACGAACACTCAACAGAAATTCAAAGCTGTAAAAGGATAATGAAAAGAATTGGTGAACTCGAGAGAGGAAAACAAAAAAAAAATATGATAAACCTGGAAAAAAGAAGGAAAAAAGTGCAAAAAGAATCGCCCACGGCGAGACTCGAACTCGCAACATTCAGATGGCTTAGAAGACCTTTTTACAGGTTTCTTAAAAGTCTGACGCGCTAACCAATTGCGCCACGCGGGCTTTTTGTGTGATTGGCCGTGCAAAACATCCACCTATAAACTTGGAATGACCTTGTGCTGTTGCTCAAAGATTCATGCGAAGAACACAATGAAGATCATCACCAACAAAAAGAAAACAAGCCACTCCTTGTCACCAGCCAGTCCGAACTCTTATGTGTAAATAAAGAGATTTATCCAGCTTTCATTGCATTCCCATTCCCACGTCCACATCCATACTCTCTCCTGGGGTATATGTTCCTAGTACCTTAGTCTGACTGATAATGCACTTTGTTCCATTCCTTCCATCGCCCATTGTCCATCATCCATCTCTTCTCAAGACCTTTTATCCTAACCCAACCCATCCAGCCACAACAACCCGTTCTTAGCCCAAGTTAAACTCACTAGCCATATTGCCCATCATCATCTTCATCTTCTCCTTCATCCTCCTGCCCGCATCCTCATCCGCCGCACCAAAGTCCCTCTCATCATCATCATCCTTCTTCGGCCTCCTAGCGGTGCCATCGCCCACAGACTTGCTCGTCTTGTTTGTCTTATCACCCGGCTGCACCGGCCTGTGCGTCCTCCTGGAAACACCACCGCCAATTCCACCGGGAGCCTCGCGCAACCCGAACGCCTTGGCCATGTGGCCGAGATGTAGCGCGGTAATGTCAAAGTAGACGCGCTCCTCGCGGACGTGCGTGGCGTAGGCACGGATGTGCGAGCGGAAGGCTTGGCGGGCGGACACGAGGAGGGGGTTGTCAGGTGTTTTGTTCTCGTCCTTCTTGGCGTCCTTCTTGCCCTTCTTGCCCTGCTTGGAGGCGGCGAATTTCTCGCTTTTGGATTCAAAGACGGGCGTAGCGCCGGGCAGGGGAGCGAGGAGACGCTGTTCGAAGTGTAATTGGAGAGCTTCGGCGCGGGAGGCCCAAGATTGACGATCGGTTTCCAGAATTCCGGACTCGGTGCCAGGCACGTTGATGTTTGTGGCGAAGCCCTTTTGGAGGATGGAATCGTACAGCTGGGGTGCGATGGGGGTCGATTTGGGCAGGATGGAAATGTAGCCTTCTTCGGACCCGGGGAGGAGGAAGAGCACGGCTTTACCGGCGCGACCGGCACGGGCGGTACGACCGATACGGTGGACGTGGTCAGGCACGGCGAAGGCCGGGTCGTACTCGATGACAAGTTCAACGGCCGGGACATCGAGACCACGGGAGGAGATATCGGTGGTGATGAGCACGGCGGGGTCCTTGCATTCGCTGAAGGCCTTGAGGGTTGCGCTACGGACGGGCTGGGCGAGCGAACCGTGGAGCTTGTGTAGCATCACCGTAGGGTTAGCTGGGGAGGTAATGTATGTTGCTGGCGCGACGGTCGACTCGATGTGGATGTTCGGCTTAGTGGGAGCTTCGCCTTCAGGCTTGGGCTCGGGCTCAGCACGCGGTGTGGTAGACTTGAGAAGCTCAAAGTGATAATCAACCGAGTCAGCACATGAGATGAAGATGATAGCCTTCATGACCGAGCCCTTCCTGGCAAAAGTTGACTTGAGCAAGGCAATAAGCGTGACCAGGCGCAACTTGGCGGGTGTAACGATAGCGGCCTGCTTTAGCTGGGCGGGCGCGGAGAACGCCGTTTCAACGGCACCAGTCTCCGCATCCTTCTCCATATCGCTCTTGGACGCTGTGATGTGAACAGCATCCTCCAAACTGATCTCGCCCAGCTTCTGGACGTTCATTTTCATGGTAGCCGAGCAAAGAACCGTGACTCTCCTCGAAGGGAGAACGCCGTCCAAAACTACACCCTCGGCGTTCTTCTTCTGTAGTGTACCAGCCCTGATCTTGCCGACGATAGTCTTGATATCATCCTCAAAACCCATTTCCATCATGCGATCACCTTCATCGAGTACCAACCAGCGGACCGTACCAACGTCGAGAACCTTTGTGTTGTCGAGATGATCTGTCAAGCGACCGGGAGTAGCGATCAGGATGTTGACACCCTTTCTGATGCGCGCCTTCTCTGACTTTTTGCTTTCACCACCTATTACCGTGGTGCAGACTAGCCAGGGAGCGCAGCGCAGCACTTTCTCGAGGACAACGGCGATCTGCTTGCAGAGTTCGCGGGTAGGAGCAAGGATAATAGCGAAGAGTCCCGAGTTGCGGTGCACCTTGGTGGTCTTTGGGGTACCGTCCTCGTTGTGACTGAGGGCCAATATCCTGTGGACAATGGGGAGAAGGTATGCTAGCGTCTTTCCGGAACCCGTCTCGGCTTGGAGGAAGGCATCGCTATCCTCCTTGACTAGTTGTGGTATCGTGTTCTTCTGGATGGCGGTCGGGGCCTTCATCTCGAGCTTCGTCGCCAGGTGCTGGGATACACGTCGGGAAAGACCCAACGAGAGGAAATTCTCTGCTTCGGCACTGAGGGGAGCGTTCGAAGGTTGTGCAGGCTCAGCTTCTTCGGCTTGGGGAAGCTCCTCGAAGTCGGTTACGGGAACGGGATTCGAAGTAAACAGTCGCGACGATACGAGGCCAGTCTTCATGGCATGTGTCGGCGGCGGCGGCGGACCTCTTTCGGCGGCATTGCCTGTTCGTGGGGTCTTGGAGAATCTGCCTGAGTCGCCATCTTCTGTCCGTTGACGTTTCGCGGCTCTGTTCGTGTAGTAGTCGGCGCCGGTATCTCGTCGAGCTGTCGAGGCCTGTTTTGTCTGATCTTGTCCACCCTTCTCGCCCTTTTGCGCCTTGACTCTGTCCCTCCACCGGCCACCTGTGTACTTGACCGTCTGCTTGATCGGTGCATCTCCGATCTCAAAGTTGAGGAACATATCACCGTCGTCCGCCATTTTGACTGATTGAGCGGCAAAGAGAGGTGGGGTGTAGTGGTGCTGGCAAAGATGAATTGGAAATGGGGAGTTTCAATGGTATCGATGGACTGGAAGACAATATTCTGGGTATTGGCAAGAAAAAAGTTCAACGTCCATGTCGATCCCCGCAACACAGTGGCTCTCAGTGGACTGGCACTCTGAGCCGTTGCACTGAAAGTGGAATTGGGTCCTTGGCCAGATCAAAGTGGGGCTCTCGCCTGTGTAAGTGAACCGTGTCGACTCGCACTGTACCTCTATCACTCACTCACCACGCGCCTTCAGCATAAAACACAAAACACCACCATTGCATGTGTCTTGGGAGTGATCATGTTGATATAGCTACAAGGCTCGTGATAACTTCTCATTAAATATTGCTAATAATACATGGGTACTGGTAATTCGACAAAAAGCCACCGTGAACTGCCAACATTGTCAGGAACTACTGCTCGAAACAGTCGCAAAACATGTGCGTATATTATAACATCTTCTTGCCAAGAGATTTTAACCGTTCTGTAGTATCACCCAATTCTCCAGAGTCCGAGAATCTCCTACAATGAGGTTCAGTAAGCGGCTTGGTAAAGTTCCAGAGTCGTCCCATCATAGGCGAATCTCTGGTCTCGACGTTCAGAACGCATTGAGTCAATGACAAAGGTCAAACCAAGAACATACCCCGTATAGTTAAAAGATACGCGTGCCACACTCGAAATCAGAAGGAGTCTTTACAAGATCTCTATGTATCTCGTCAGAGACAAAGCTGGTCCCGATCGGAGATTCGGGAAGGGGGCCGCGAGTGCCCGAACTCGTCTAGGGTGGTATTTTTAACCAGTTTTTGCGCGTATTGTGACTTCTTACGGAGAGTTGGTCCGTAGATATACGTTATGTAAATTGCCGCAACAAGAAGAAGGGATATAGCGAATAGAATGGTGTTGGCGATTTCCAGGTGCCTCTTCCCGCCAATGTTGCTGAAGAAGGGCGTGGCCGGCACCGTTAGGACACCAGCAAGAAAGTCGCGAGCCCATCCGTTACCTCCGGTAGCCGAAGCTGAGTAGGGACCGTAAGCGCAGATCATATACTGTTGAGTATTTCGTTAGCATTCTCAGTCAACGAGGTAGAACCTAAAGCTTACGTCAATGGTGGCCATGTAGATGGAGTAGTTCGCAATGCCAATGATGGTAGACCCGACCATGGTCCCAATCCAATGTATGGGCGGTCCACTGCACGTCCAGGCAAAAATAATCAGACCTATGGGCAAGCAAGGTGCAGTCCAGAGAAGCCACCATAGTCGAGATTCATACTGCGCATGCTCGCTATGCGGTTTCAGATCGCGTGCCCTCTTGTTGCGCTTAAAGACTGGTAAGAAGGACAGCCAGGCGATCAGGTACCCTAAGCCAATTGGAACGAAAGCAAGGCCAATTTGGATCTTGGAAAATCCCCATTGATTGTAGACCAGAACAAAGGACTGGATCTGCATAAAGATGAGGGCATCAGAGAATCCTGACAGTAGTGAGAGAGTGAGGACGATCGGCTCCGTAACAAACATTCGAAAGGGACGGCCCCAATTTCTCATCAACTCTTTCCAGCTGAAGCGTTGACGGATGGGACAGAGTTCATTGGGGCCGTAGAGATTGGGCGCCATGCCTGACTCTCTGCGCTTCTTGGCGATTCTGTCGAGATGGATAGTACATCTCGTCTCTGGAACAAAGAGTAGGTGAAGAAGCTGAACGAAACCACCAAAGAGCAGCTGGATCCAGATGCACCACCTCCAGTCTAGATAGGTCTCGACAAATCCGCCGATGATGGGGCCAAGCACCGATCCGCCCACCGAGGAAAAGACAATGTAAGAGACGGCAACCTGCTGGTCAGCAGGCTCGTACATGTCGGCAATCATGCCGAGAGTGACACTGCCACCAGCGCATGATAGGCCCCCTAGGGCGCGGCCAACGAGGATGGTTGCGAAATTGGGAGCGAGAGCGACCGGGATGGACCAAATATTGACCAGAAAGAGCGAGGTCTGCAGAACCTTTTTGCGACCAAACTCCTCTGACCAAGGCGCCCAAAGCTCGCACCCAAAGGCATAGGTGATGAGGAAGATGGCTGCGCCCCAGCGGGCTTCCTGAAGGCTGATACCAAATTCTTCAGAGATGCCGGCCAGACCGTTGGAGTACAGTGACGTGTTGAAGTTCATGGATGTCTGGATGAGAAAGATGACGGTGAGAATCATCCATTTCGTGGACTTGGAGTACGAAAAGGGGAGTTCGTCGTAGGCATCATTCTTTTTCAGTTCGGTTCTAATGTTCAGCCGTGGTCCCTCATGGACTTGTGCGTGACCATGGAAATTTCTGTTGGAAACCGAATCTGAAGGGTGCAATGTGTCGGCATCTTCTCCCAGCTGTGAACCAGTGTCGCCCTCCTCCTTTTCTGATACATCGGGCGGTGGTCGATCACGGAGGGCGTGCATGACGTAATTCTATGGTTCTCTGTTGGAACCAGTTCAGGGTCTTGAAATTCGGCCTGTCGGTGCGTCTCAAGCAGCGTCGAGGAAGAAGTCGAGATGACAGGTGCCGACTGACAAAGGGACAGCTTGTATGTGAGTAGTGATATACAGCACACGGTAGAACACTCAACGGGATTCTGGCATCAGCTGCGCTTCAGAGTAAGTAGACTTGGCGCGGATGAATGTGAGCATATGACGGCGTCATCATGCGAGTACTGAACCGAGTTATATCGATGGTGGTATAAAGGGGCGAAGAGCTATTCCTTGGGTGTGGGATTGCCTATTTCAACGTGGGCAAGGATGAGGAAGAAAGAGAGGAAGAAGAGGACGATGGATACAAGCTCTCCGGGACATGAGATGGTTTTTGATGAGGAGGGGGATACATCGTTGAGCTGCTTGTCTTGACCGCGTGACTTTGTTTTGCTGTGAGCTGCAACTTTCCAGTACGTAGCGGTATGGGGAAGTTGGCAGACATGACGCTCGAAGGCCGGAGATGCATCACCGAGGTAACTGGGAGCTTGCGGGTTCGGTTTTCTGCGGATGAGAAGTGAAGTTGGAGACTTGGAGTCGAGGCCCGTGGTGGGGAGAGAGAGAGGAAGTGGGTTGATAAAGGGTCCGGGTCAGTCCCTTTCTTGGCCCTTAAGAGAACCTTACCTACCGTAGGTACCCCGGAGCTTTTACAGTTAGACGCGCATCAGTCATCTGACAGAAAACTGCGGGGAAAAGACCCAATCTTGCTAACAAAGCGAACTGCACGGTACCTACATGTAGTCGAGCTTAAGTTGTTAGGACCGGGAGCACTTTGCATTACCCCACCACTTTGGCGGATACCACTCGGTACGTACCGTGCCATCTCCTCCAGCAATGGAAGCTTCACCCACTTCTTTCTCTCTTCTTTTCTTCCAAGCCAGCAATATCCAAGGTTGACCGGTTGAAGGACGGTGTTTGAATCCCAGCCCTCATCTTCGATCAACCATTCTATTCCTCTTGTGTTAAACCATTACCTGGATCATTGATGCAATCATCATCCGTCCCCGGTCGGCACACGGCGTTTACATTGGCCGACGTGGTCGTACACTCGAGATGCAACACCAATGTGGAAAAAAAACTGGAACACGGCACGGCGGAATGCTTCCCTCTGTTGGATCTGGTGTCGGACGCCCGTCGGGACCGAGTAAGCAGAAATCAAAAGCTGAGCCATTCACCTGTCGCTACCACTGCGCCTGACAGGATTGGGGTGCCGGTTTCGGGTCCAAACAGCCGACGTTGATCGTCTCCTCCCTCGCGTGGTGTCAGCTCATCTCTACTTCTCTGTTGGTTCAGCCTTCCAGGGCAGTAACACAACGACGTGTTTACCTACCCTTTCAAAGCTCCCTATCAGAATGGGATGGAAGCCCCCTTGTCCATCCCTTCGGCTCAGTCCCGGATGTTGGCCTTCACTTGACCTTCGGCCTGCGCCCCTCCTGGACTTCCCCAGGGCGAGTTCCGAATGCCGTGCACCTCAGTCCTTGTGAACCCTTACATCCCACATCTGCACCTAGTGTACAGCATAGCACTATTTACGACGCAGACAAGCTGCTGGTCTCGCCCGGTCGTCTGAAGCTCAAGCAAGCCATCACACGCACCTCTCTGCGCGCCACTCCTGCTTCTGCTACGACTTATTAAAGAACGACAGCACCCCTCCGCGCGCCTGTAAACATGCCTCCCTACAATCCATTCAAAATCAACGCGAACTTCCTCCGCCCTCCCCTCAAGGCTAGTGTAATGAGTACTCAAGTTGCCGTCGCGGCTGGTGTTGCTGGCCTGGGAATCTACGCCTTCTATCTGAGACGGAACGCAAGCGGGAGCGCAACGGGAACTGCTTTAGCCACAAACATGGACGCCAGCGATCTCAAGCCGGGCAAGCTGCCTCTGTCAGGCTTTGGCTTCCACAGCTTGCGCCTCCACAGCACCGAGCTCATCAACCACAACACCAAGAAGTTGCGTTTCGAGCTTCCCGACCCCTCTCAGCCCAGCGGCATGGGCCTCACCTCTGCCCTTCTGACCATTTCCTTCCCCAAGGGACGATGGCTCCCTGTCATCCGCCCGTATACCCCCACAAATGACCTAAGTGAGTTACCAACTCCCAATTTCATATGATCTCACTAACGACATCCACCCCCAGACGAACCCGGCTTCGTCGAGCTCATGGTCAAGCTCTACCCCGGCGGCAAGCAAAGTACTCACCTGCACTCGCTCCAGCCTGGCGACACCCTAACCGTGGCCCCCATCCCCGAGCTCAAGTGGACTCCCAACAAGCATCCGCACGTGGCCATGATCGCCGGCGGAGCCGGTATCACTCCCATGTACCAGCTCGTCCGCGGCATCCTGACCAACCCGGCCGACAAGACCCGTATCACCCTCGTCTGGGGCGTCAACACGGACGAAGACATCTTTCTGCGTGACCAGCTCGCCGAGCTGGAGCAGAACTATCCTGGCCGCTTGAAGACTGTTTACGTCGTTGCTCAACCTGTAGCACAGTCTCCGTATCAGAAGGGATTTGTGACTAAGCAGGTGCTAGAACAGGCCGGGCTCAGTGGTGCGACGGAGAAGAGCAAGGGGACCAAGGTGTTGCTTTGCGGACCGCCGGCCATGGAGAAGGCGTTGAAGGGAACGAAGGGATGGGTAGGAGCTGGTAAGAAGGGGGTGTTGCAGGAGTTGGGGTATACCCAGGATCAGATTTACAACTTTTAGATAGGTGAACTTTGGAAGGCCAGGTTTGCATGGCTTCGGCTTGTGATGCATGGGGTTGACGGGAGTTTGTATGATGAGTGGTGACAATGAAATGGTTGGTACACATTGAGGAGTTGGTCGCTGCGGATAATGCCAAGATTGTGGTTGCGTCCGCTGTTCAATGGTGTTTGTAAGTAAATGTTTCCAGAGCGGTCGTCCGAATGTTGGAAAAGGCAGTTATTCCCCCCCCCCCCCCCCAATATCCCCTTTGTGCTCTGTTTCCCTGGTTCTCAAGGCAGCAAGCCAACGGTTTCAATGCGGAGTTCGTTATCTAACGCAGTCACATGTGATTTCGCCTGAGGTTTTCAAGGGTACTTGCTGAAAATGCGTATCACACCTTGGAAGGGCATGCCCAACAGAGGTAGGTACATGCATAATGCGACTGACTGCACGAAGATATCTCACTCGCATGTGGCGACCGGCCTTCAACGTCCCTTTTGCAGCTCTTTCTGCTCCCAGGTCGGCTCATCTCTCTCTTATTCTCTCATACTTACCTCCAATGTAGGTATGGTACCTGTGTTCCCCTTGTCCGATACCGACTATCATGCCAGTCCTTGTTGACTGGCGTTTGGATCACGGATGTGCACCAGCGGCCTAACGGTTTTTCACCCGTCGCGCCACGCAGAGTCAGAGATCCAGGGCGGGTGCCAATTAAAGAGATTTCCATCGGCATAGAATCCGTGTTTCCTGGAAGCTCATCAATGATGAACATGACATCGGAGAATATCTGGACTTGAATCATCGCTCTGGTCTCCGCCCGGCAATAGTCGTTGCTCGATTGTAGGTAATCAGCTGGAGGACCAAGGAGGAAGTCTGTTCAAGTGAGCTTCGCCCGTTCTTCGGTACCTTGGAAATTAATACGTGGATGTAACGGTTCGTAGTAGCCAAGGTTTCACTCATCAACAACAACAACCTCTTTGTCCCATTCTTCAAGAGGTGTCCCAGAAATATGATGAGATTATGAGAGGGAAAATTGTCGGAAAAGGTCACATTCAAGACACTACACCCTTGACCAAGGTCCTGTTCAACACAATTCAACGAGAGAAACGATATAGACACTCTCAGCTGACTGATCACAGCGGACGGAAGAGAGGGAAAATTCAGAAGAGTTGGCGAAGATAAAGGAGGACAACTTCCACTTCCCTTCCACACCGTGCCGTGCCTTAGCGACTTAGGTCTCCTCTCATCATATCGTCTACCTCTCTTCGGTGCGCCTTGGCACTAGGCAACTCGACCCCGACACAGCTTCGGTTCAGTCCAACTCTTATTTGTGTAAGCCTTTAATAGTCTGGTATCAACCACTTCACAACGCTGTTCAACGTGTATTAATCATCGCGAGATCTGGCGATAGGGATTTAAGTCGCCAGCGAAATCTAGACAAACAAAACCAAAACCGACTACCACCACCAGGTGACAGCAGAGACACCTTTCCCAACCAAGACCAAACCACGCGTACCTCTGCTGTCTACAACTGCGTGGTTTGTCCGGCCTAGGTAGGTAGGGCAACAGGCGACCCAATACTTGGCTGAGAACAAGACAACTACAATAGGTAGGTAGGCATTGTCTACCAGACACACCGATGCAATGAAGCTAAGGCTGCTGGCCCCATTGTCTGACCTTCCGAAGCCCCCCCTCATTGCCACGAAACGAGTAATATCACCTAACGCAACGAACCGTGTCCGTCATCGAGGTGGTCTTTCTGGGAAGGGGCCAACCAAAAAGCCGACCAAGACGAAGTGTTCCTTCCTCAGGAAGGATGGAAAACTCTGCTTCTACAAGAGATTTTACTGGTGACGACCAGAGAAAAGGCGACTATTGCAACGCACCTACTTTATCCCAATGTGGGATTCCGACAAAAAGCTCGACATAATCCTCGAGTACCCAAACCCTCCATCCTTGGCTGCTCTCAAATCATTACCAGAATTTACCTACGGAGACGAACATGGTTTTGCGGTGCACCTCTTTTACAATACTCTAAAAGCCCAAACAATCGCCTTCGATCTACGTCGGTAGCGGGACAGACAAGAATGTGTCCCTCTGAGGTTCCGTCACTAAGACGAAGACCAAAGTTGTCGAGTTTAACGAAAAGTTCGCACCAAAACGGCTACAAAAGGCCTCAAAGTGGCAGAGAAGAGGAGGAACCACCGCTCAGGCGGCTACCAAGATGCCTGTCAAGACTGCCAAAACCGAACCTCACCATGAGTCTACCCTTACAAAACCCATCGACTGTTGGAGAAAGGGAGTGAGGAAGCCCGACGTCGCAAGGTAAGAGGGACTTGCGGCTCCAAAGAGTCTAGACACAAAGTCCGACTCGCTCAACGCAAACAGACTTAGACTCAGACAGTTTCATCATCAATGCACACCATCATCCATCAAGTCTATGACTAGGTCCGACTTGCTGTCGGCCTCTAACAAGGAAGCCGATTTTGACATCGCCGCCAAAGAGGCCTTGTGGTAGGCGTTGAATGTGTCGTTGAGGATTTGCGCTTCAAACTCTAGGGTTTCATGGTCTTTCTTGATAGCGGTAGAGATTTCGATCATGCGCGCATCAACGGCCTCCTGGTTGTGACGTTGGAGGCTGCTCAGGCTGGACTGGAGGTGACGTTTCCGCTAATCTCGTTTTCGTCGATTTTGGCCAAATGTGATTGACCAAGGCGATAGAGGCAGCCCGTTTTCCTAGTATATACACCAAGAAGACAACGTAGTAGTGCACTCGGTACCTTACAGAGCTTGAAAGGTACAGTACCTGATGTCCTGATCAATCCCCACAATCTTGTCCCAGGTGCACATCATGATGTCTAGGTAATGCCATGCTCTCCTAGCATGGAATATCAACAGGTCTCCCAATATTATTGTACCTGTAGTGTACCTTACGTGTGTCATCGCCGTTGTCGATTTTCATTTCTTTTGGGGCCATCATTGGAGAATCATGTACAAAAAGAAAACGCTGATTTTTCGCTGCGAAAAGGGGGAACCTAGGTATTTCAGCCCTTGTCAAAATCCGTTTGCTGCCTCAACACACAACTTTACTCTTCGTCTGTAACGTCTGCGTGTTCGTCGTTGATGAAAATGTCTTCATCTTCTCCTCGTCACTGTAACTGTGCGCCGTAGCTCTTGGGGTGGTAGGTAAGATGAATGGGCGATGTCGTTACCGAAGATTTGGTGGGGAGATATTAAATGAAGGTATAGTAAATGCGGCGGTTTGGTTGGGAAGAAAAGGGCAGTACGCGATGGGTGAGAGGAGGGTCAAGACACAGGTTTTTATACCTCTACCTATTTTTCACTTGACCCAACAGCAGATCAGTCATCATGAGTTCCTATACAGCCCGCAACCACCCACTTCTTCCCGCCAGCACTACCATGGAACTGCCTTCCAGCACCCATGACCGCGTCTTCCGTTATTTAAGACGTTGGAATCAGCAAGCCCAGTCCTGGCCGTCGGAGCAGTTGTAGCCTGGCGAAGTCTATCCGCCCAGAAATAACGAGGCAAGGTTTTACCTACTCAGATGACACTGATTGGAGCTTTGCGGCGCTCACCGAAGACGAGTTCATTGACTTGAACAGATCCCCTACGTACACTGTCACCACACTCGAGCCAGATGAGCGGACATTCAAAGTCGCCATGAGGGAGGACACAGTTGATCCGCCCCTCGACTGGCCTGAGAGAAAAACCACAAAAGGTCGACAATAGTGACCAACATTCGGTCGGGGGTTACCATGTGGATAATTGGTTCATGATCTTCCAAGCTCTGGCCATCTTTAATTATCGCCGCTCCGGCAACATCGCCCTCGGCGCTACAAAGTCCCACTGGAATACCAATATTTTTCCAGCCTCTTCGGATGCCTAGTGGTGGCTGGTTGGTTCGGGCTACTCGCGAACTTGAAAAAGGCGAATCCAACCAAGGGATGGGCTGGCGCCAACTTCCCACAATCGTATCAGAAGCTTTTCCTACAGGCCCTCCATCATTTTACGCAGTCCAACATAGCACATATCAATAAGGCGATATCTGATGCGCCCTTCGACTCCCTGCCGACTAAGGCCGTCGCCGTCCGGTATGGCGATCTCCAACCCCCCCCC